GGATCAAGTAATATCTGCCGGGTGTAAGCTGTTATTTAATAGCGAGTCGCGGAATGCAGGCGTGACCCACATCTACTGCACCAAGTGGACTGTATTGATTCGCAGTCTTGAGACGATGCCATCTCTCTTCCTCTTGTACCCCGAGGCTACTTACTCAATATTCCGAACCGCTCAGGATGTTTGCAGTACCCACTTAATAGGGCTTAGGTAATATGTGGTTTATTGAAAAACTTCTACGAGTTAAGCTCGAATGATTCATATTCGTTTAATTAATAAAACTATTGAACTATGTCTAGTTTGTCTATGAAAATTAATAACTTGTGCAGATTAAGCATTGTTTGTAGTTTACAACAGTTTTACCGGTTTAAAACCCTAAATATTTCATTGAATTACGACGTTTCCATACAGCCCGTGACCATTGCTGCTTTAGTTGAATTAAATATTTTAATTAAAAATAATTTAACTAAAATATTTATAATTAAAACCGTTAAAGTGTTCTATTTAAAAATATGAAGGTTATTACTTAAATTTGGAAATTATATGTAAACGTGTAGACTGACGTGAAAGTAAAAAATATAAGTTTTTATTACGTTTGTAGCTTCACATTTTTGGGAAATCTTTATTATTGAATTATTTTGCAATTAAGACTGTGTTTGTCTATCGTCCTTAATAGGAAAATCGAAGATGGTATTTTTGGGACAATTCCCCAAAAACAATGTCTCTAGATGGCGCATAGAAGCAATTCAATTGCGTTATATTTCCTAGTCCTCTTAAATCTTTAAAAAGATCCTCTTAAAAAGTTAATTACGTAATTAGCCTGCACACGTAAAATAAGGCTACTTCAGTATAAATCTAGTTATAGATGCATCGAAATATTTACGCTACGTTTCCCCTTAACAATAATTACGGCTTGGCTCTCTGCCCTGTTGTAATATCTTGCGTTTTTATTGAAAAATATGCTTTCAATGTTAGATATGACTATGAGTTAAATTAAAAGCACACGTTTTTGTTACAACGGTGAGACATATTAAATTAGTACAATATAGTTTTTTTTAGTTCAGTCAAATTTATGGTGTTTGATGGCTACTAGTATTACGAATTATAATCAAGTTTCTTTGTGTGTAGCAAACTTAAAATGATTATGACTAAACATTTTTTTTAAATATACCGTAGCAATATATTAGTTGGTGAGCTATCTGTACAGCACCCGTCCAAGTTTTTGTTAAAACTTTATGTTTCGAATCGCGATTCGAACCCGAGTCCACGCGGTTAATTTACTTTGCTAGAAAGCCATCCGATGTGCTATTAAAAACTTAAAAAGCAACAGACTGCCGTAAATAACGACTTAACCACAGCTTATATCGTATTTGTGTATACTCTGTTGCATAAAATTTCATTCTCATTTCTGCACAGATAATATAGAAAAACTAACAAAGATCTTGCACAGTCTGCCCACGGTCAAAGCCCGCGTAAAAGCTTAGGCGAGTGTAATGACCTCAAGATATTATGTTTTTGACAACGCTTATACGAGCGCGACCCTTGAAATTCTTGTATGTCGCGACAGTATTGCTGCCTCGTTACATATTAGTGTGGAACTTTTATATTAGTTATTTTTTTACAAACTATCAACGGGGAATTTCGTCTGCGTGGATGAGTAGCTTCTACTGCTATACTACTATACCATGCTTTTAAATAAATCAAATAAAAAAAATCTAAATTTTTGGTAAAATAGTTTATTTTTTATTTTTGGTATTCATACACCAGAAGCAGTGATAAAAAAAAGTATTTATTCAGGAAACATATTTACAATAATCTGTTTTTGATCTGGAAACCCTTTTAAGTAAATAATACCTGTGCCAGGGTTTCCAGCTCTTCCACATCATTAAATAATACATTATTCCGTATCCCTAAATATTTTTTTTAATAACATTGGTGTGTGTGTGTATAAGTATGTCAGTTCATGTGTATGTATGGCTTGATGTGTATGGATAAGACTCCTTAAATATTCTTATTCTATTTGGCACTCTGACCGCCTCGTTAGCTACTTGCTTAGCATTGCATTAAGCGCGAGGGTTCGAATCACGGGGAAATAATAAATTGTTTCGGCCGGGCTGGGCACACGAGACTGATTATCAAAAATGTCGCCCCGAGCCCCACGAGGGGAAACCGGATTTCACTATCTGTCAATATATCTTTAACGTGCATTTTAAACACTGTTTATTATTACAAACAATTGCACTCAAATGTTTGATTTAAACGTAATAAAGTTTCCAAAAAGATCTACGTTTAGTGCATTCTCCTAGCAAGGCATTCACTCAATCCATTAAGGAAAGTAAGGATTTTATTACAGAGATTTAAGAAACTTCAATTCATTGCCTGAATGAAGGCTGCTCCATAAAATTGTCTGGCCGGTGCAAAGTTATCGCTGGATAATTTAAAACTCAAGACCCAGAGTATCTCAACTCTGTTATAATAAGATTATGGAGCATGGCCGTCAGACACGCAAACCACGTGATCATCTTACAAAACATATTGTGACTAAATATTAAGACATAGAAGAATTAAGAGTATATAGATACTTACTGAAAACTGGTAAGCCTGTACCTACGTGCTATTAGGTACTATATTTATGATTATATTTTTATTTTATAGATTATGTATTTATAATAAATACCCCGGCCGCATAACATTTACACTAGATGTGCTGTCTGCCTATCTTAGCTTTGGATATTCGAAAGTTCACATGGTTTTTTCATCTGTGGACGGTGGTTCGTGACCCGAACGGTATTTCAATATTTCTACCACCCACTAAAGATCCAGATTAACAGACGAAAAATTATAAATAGATTAGAAGCATGTTGTCAACCGTCAAATCGCTGAACGATTATCATGCCCGGCGACTTCATGAAAAATGAATAAAATATAAATATATTTTTTTCATTCGGGCAAACAAACAAGACGGAACTACTTGCCTAATTTTAGTACCCGTTCCCTAATAATCTAATATTGTGTCTAGACCGACAGTTTAGCTTCAGCGAGGAAACTTCAAACGCTTAACCAATTTCGCGTCAACTCTACTCTACGTGCCATCTCACAAGTTAAGATGTTAGGAATTTTGAATACACTTACGTGGTAACACAGAATATGTTCACATTCCACCCCGTCGTGCTGTGTTTCCCTCATAGTAAACTATGTATGTGCGCTTACGTTATTTTATAAATATTTGCAACATTTACTTGAGTTCTTTAAACAGTTTAACAGTACTCGTATTTAACATTAGCTGTGTCAGCGACTTCGTGCGTGTAGATTAATTATTTTGGGCATCAAAATGTATTTTTGCAAACTCTTTATCTTTATAGATTTAATCTGTTGTCCACGACGTCGGTCGCGTCCCGTCGTTCTTGCCAGTTAGTCTTAAAAGATAGACGTATATCGCGGGCATTTCTTAGATCATTTAGATCGCATCGAAAACCCCTTTTTTCCACATTTCCCGCTATTTCTTTGCTCCTATTAATCACAGCGCAATGTTTGCCTTGTAGCCTTCCTCGATAAATGCTGTAACACGAAAATAATTTTTCGATTCGAACCACTAGTTCCTGAGATTAGCGCGTTCAAACAGACAAACAAATTTGGACTTGGATTCAATTAAGTCAGAAATACTTAAGTAATAAAATATATCATTAACAATTTTTCGTGAATCTTAACTAGACAGTGCCTCTCAAAATCTACAAAGATGCAGTGAACTCAAATATATCGATCCAATGACAATGGTATAAGTAACCCAAGCTTCAATTTTAATAAAAGCGCGGCTCAAAAGAAACACAAATAGGCGGATCATAATAAGTTGGGAACAAGACGCGGGCCAAAAGCGCCTAGAACTTAGCTCAACAATAAAGTTGAAAAATCGCTGGGATTGCTCTGCTGCGGGCGTCGCCAAGAAAAAACGATGCCTACATTTTGCACTTAATGAAACTGTAGCTGAAACAAAATAAAGGACTTCCGCGAATTTACACTGTGTCGTTCGGTTCTTTTGAGAACACACCCTTCGCTAATGGTGTTATTAGGCACCAAAAGTTTAAGTTTTCTTTTATTAGCGACAGATGTCTCTGAAAGTCAGGATTGTGGTTTTGTTTATTCGTACTTCAAGTAAATTAAACGTCGTCAATATCTTTATTCTAATAGAAAAAAATATTTTTAAATGGGTACTTTATTTATTATGTCACTTTTATATAAAGACTGATGATAAAACATACTTCATAATTATATTTACAAAAGATTTCTATGTGGCACGTAGTGAGACAGAAAGAAATTGACCATTGCGATAATTGTGCCACTTAGTTTCATGTATGTATCTTTTTTTTGTACTGTGTTCAAAGTTTTACAAATATACTGATAAACGTTTCTCTTCTCTATAATAAACGCTCACTTACTTATACAGATAAATTAAACACGTTTATAGATTGCTGTTAAGTTTTGATTATATTAAATTGTCTTGTTTCTTTCGTTTTTCACAAAACCTCTTTATCTACTATATAAATGTTTGTTTAATTATAGATAACTTTGAAGAGATCGATCGTTGATCGTAATAACAACGTCTTCTTTATAATTGTAAATAAAATTGCTAAATTAATAATCGGAAAATAAAGTTTTATAAGTAATTTTACGTGTAAATTTAGAATCGATTTTAGATTCAAAACTTACGCCACAGACGGGACTTGAACTGGCATCCATCCCTGCTATATCTTAGCAAATGAGGTGACGTAAAAGTTCTATGATGACGTACAGTGTGTCCTACGCGTACGTCATATCGCTTTTAACCCGTCATCCTTGCACCTCTCGCGCATTTAATTTCAATCTAAAATCGATTTTTAATTAATATAGTGCCATCATGTAAATCACATGTAAAAAATATTAAAGTTTTCAAATTTTACATGTATTCAATCAATCTATTCAAAAATTTGAAATAGCAACAAAACTCATTCTCAATCTCTTCATTTTAGCGTATTATGGATTCCGCGGAGGCTGCAGCGCTGTCTGCCAGTGGCGCAGGATCAGATGGAACTCCTGGAACATACTATGACGCTAGGTGGCTGAACGTCCACGCCGATGATGGAACACTAGCGGCGCGTGCTAGACGACTCCTCTTATCCCCAAGTAGACATTTCGACCATATCGCTGTGAACACGAGTTACAGCGCAGTGCTGATGCCGCCCTATATTAATACTGAAGGTAGGTTATATACAATTCTACAGGACTTTATCTTATTTTTATTAAGTCAACCTTGTATATACATATTAAACTATAAATTAAAATAATCATGTTAAAAATCTACAGTTATAAGCATACATTATTCTAGGATTTATTAATGAAGTAGCAATATTAAATAACAAACTTTTTAATAAATTAAAAATGTCACTTGAAATTACGACCGGCAGTCTACAACCGGCATTCGGTTCTGAAATTGTTCTAACAAATTGGGCAACCGAGTCCTATAACTAGGAACCGGTTCAAGTCCTGGCCGAGTAGTATTTTTTTTTTAATTTATAATCGATTTTTAATTTATATAGTGCCATCATATGCAACATGTGAAAAATATTAAAGACAAACTATTTAGATAAAAAAAATACGGGATGGAGATGATATCATCGATAAGTGATGTAGATTTTTAATCTGTGTAAAGCGATCTTGTGAAAATATTTCAGTATCAATATTTTTTTCTGGATATTACTACATAATATTAAACTCCAATTCCTTTCATTTCGTCTATTATGTTACGTTAATTACTTAATTCTAACACTAATTACAACTTCAATTCAGCTCAGGGTGATTGAATGTTTCACCAAGTTTGTAAATTCACTAAAACGCAATAAAATGTTGACAGGCTCGTTCGGGTAATGATAGCAATATAAGGCTAATAATCAACGAGTCATAGAGTCGACCCCCACCAGGTCCAACATTTTTCTGAGACAAGTTTGACTTCCGGAAATCTGTACATAGGTGGTAGTGAACGACCGTCCACAGATGAAAAAGCCGTCAACTTTAATCGCGTTTCGGTTGTAGTCTGTGGATTCTGAATATCTAAAGCCAAAATAGTTCGACAGCACGTCTAGTTTAGATCTTATAGGACTGGGATATTTCACCTACCTTCCAATCAATCTCAGAGTGAAAAAAAAACACTTTAAACGAAATAAAACCATTAGGTAATTCCCTAATTCCGATAATAATGCGACATTTTGAATGTTCTCTACTTGTTGTGATAACGTATTATGTTTAACATGTGCTACTCGCGTAAATTAAACTTATTTATTTCGTGTTTTAAACCGTTAAAGATTTATAAAACTCACACAATAAAAACCATTCAATAAGACTTTGAACGCTAATACGAGTCTGAACTAAAAGCAATTGAAACGTGGTAAATATACTCGTGAAACGACAATTGTTCGGATCTCATAAAGTGTCTTTTGAAGAGGCTTAACTGAACCCATATTACGCTATCGAGTGCGTTCGCGATTGAGGATGCAATTCTGCTGAAAGAGGTTGGGACCAGCCATACCACTACAAGCTAACTATTATTATTTAGCTTGTATTGAACCATTGTATGTTATTACTGACAGTCTAAAAGAGAAGAAGCACGGTAGATCTTGGGTTCAAATGATAATCAACCGATATAATCGTTAAGAAACGGACACACAAATATGTATGTCGCATGCCTCATAGGGGAACTGGGTTTTTACATTCTTAAAATTTAAATAAAACACTTTAACGGTTTAAAAGCGATATATTAGTTAAACTTATTTGAAAATGACCCCCCCGTGACCACGGCTGCTGCAAAGCATCCGAAACGTCGGGCCGAAGTTAAAAATCATTTTCAAATAAGGGTTTAACTAATATATCGCGTTTTTAACCGTTTTTTTTTTTTTTTTTTTTTTTTTTTTTTTTTTTAATAAGATTCTTAAAGATGCTGTATACACCCAAAGGAAGCAATTAATTTATTGTGTTTCTTATGATAGAGGTAGACATATAAGAGGGGGTTTCCACTACAGTCACGAATACCCCAGTTACATCACATCTAAACAAGAAACGGTATCGACCTATTGTGGTTTTGATAATCGGAAATTCACAGACTGTTCGTTCGCTCGTACTCGGACAAAAAAATTTAAACATTCCTACCACCCAATTAATATGCAGACAAAGTATAGCAAAATGTTTCACAACAATTAAAAAAAATATTAGAATAATGTTGGTACCTAGTAGACCTAGGGATTCGAACCCACGACCCATAGTTATACATTGTTCCCGTCGTTGTTCTTCTTGTTTGCAATACACAGTAAATGACATTGAGCGACAATGTGGGGTTTTACGAAGCATGTTTGGGCCCTGCTAAGTAATGACACATAATATATTGTCGCAGCAGGGAGCCTAGCTTTGAAAGGGTGAAATGATTTATGAACAAACGGCCTACCTATTTTTGCTTAACTTCAATCATTAGTCATTATTAGATGCATATCAAACAATCAGATAGCACAAATATACGAAATTATTTTAATGTCTTTATATATGTATTTAATAAAGAAATACATGTTCACATAGATTAAGAAACAGATATTTACCAAATAATCAAAAAAGTAACATCTGATTATTGTTTATAAAGTAAAAATACGATAATATACTCATTTGACAGTTAACATTTTTAAAGACTAAAAAACAAAATATCGCGTCAAACTTGTCAATGTCAATTTTCGATGACAGTTCATTATAGTTTTTGCACAGACTGTTTATTACGGAATCGACTCCAATCCTTGTTCTGCATAATGGAGCCGAAAGGCACACATTTTAAAAGTAAAAAACAATTAAAAAAATATTGTTAATATAATGCTACAAAGCTTAAGTAAATAAGAGAAGAGAGAGAGTGACAGTCAGGCAAAATGTAAATCCGGTATTTGGATTTATTACAAAAACTACGTCAGCATTATCGAAATAGTGGTAATCTTCCATGACGTCAATAAATTAATTATGGTAGTCGTTCCAATCTGTACTGAAGCTTGGTGGGTCAAGAGAGCAAACCCAGCTGTGGGATACTTATCCATTGAAAGGAACAAGTCTAGCAATCGTTTCGCATAGGTTACGTAACGTTAAAATTATACTGGTGTAGGCTGTTACGTTGCATTGAGTTCTGGGTTAACATAATTAACCCATATAGAATTGCGCCGGAACCGAAGAAAAGTTTTCATGTTAGAATCAATGCAACTCAATTCGGTTGGATTCTAGCTGCGCGCGGTATAGAAGCTTTTAGTGTGATTGTAAATTTAATTTAACTCGAGATTCGGTTGCGAATTCGGAATAAGTTCCCGACAATGTAGATTTATTATATCGCGTCCTCGCGTAGTTGAATGAAACTATATTATGATTTTCTATTGTGCATTATTGTCGAGAGTAAAATGTCCTTGCAATACTTTCTTGCTTTGGAATTGTGGATGTTATGAATGAGATGAATAGATATTGCTTATATAATATTCCTTTCCTTCTATTATAACGTTTTTGGTTAGGGTACCTACATACCTATAGGCTATATCTGTTAAGTTTTTGAGGTATTTGAGGGTAGACTGATAAAAAAATAATTAGAGAATTTATTTCATACATGAAGTTTCTGTATATTAAATATATACGTATTTACTATAAAATAAGTACTAACTAAACTATATAATATAGCAATTAAATAAATAGATATTACACTTAATTTGCAAACTAATATATTTTTTACAAATAGGCGTTTTAAAAGCCCTCAATTACAGTTAAAATGGTGACAAGTATATCTATTACTATGAGAATGAGATAAATAATTCTTATTTTTAAAGTCATTCACAAGATTCCGTATATTTAACACTAGCTGTGCCCGCGACCTCGTCCGCTTGGAATAGTGATTTGGGGTAGAATTGTTAATTATTTAGGCTGTTTTTTAATTTCAAACTTTTATCCCCCTTTTCAACCCCTAACAACCCTTTTTTCACATTCAAATGTAGCCTATGTCCTTTCTCAGGCTCTAAAATATCTGTGTACCAAATATTCTCATTCAAGTCGGACAGACAGACAGACAGAGTTACTTTCGCGTTTATAATATTAGTATAGATAATTATCTTTAGTATTTGATTGTTATTAATCTAATTAAAGTAATAAGAATATAAAAGCATTTTGTGTTATTCTTAGTGATTTAATTAAGTCACCAACATTCGTGTATTGTACACGCAAACCACATAATTTGTCAAACCGATTCAAATGTCGCGGCACAGTAAGAAACCAACGTGGCATAATGCAATTAATTTTTCCGGTTCAGTCCGGGCGAAAGCAATCAGTGTTGCCCGATGAAGCAAGTTCCCCAATTACAGAGCTTTAATAGCCTCGCTAGTTAAATAAAAATTTGCCTAATTGGTCCGCGCAGCGCTAAACCCTTGAACGATACAACTTTCAACCATTCATGCATATTTCATGAAGTTCTCTTTGAAGTGAACTTTACATGTAGTTTATCTGCTAATAATCTGATAGATTCTATAAAAATAGATTATTAGATTGAATTGTCCATTATAGTTATGTTAGTTCATATTTTTGATAATCCAAAAAAGAAAGTAATTTATAGAAAAGTTGCACTATCTTAGTAATTTGAGCACTTAATTAGTATTATTTGTAGAAACACAAGTATATTTTATACTGTACTAGCAACCCGCCCTGGCTTCGCTCGGGTGAACTGATACTAAATACACTATAAAAAACTGTGACCGTTGTATATAAAAACTTCCTCTATATCTATTAAAGAAACCGCATCAAAAACCGCTGTGTAGTTTTAAAGATTTAAACGTAAAGAGGGACAGACAAAGCGACTTTGTTTATAGATTATAGATATACATTTAGTTTATATGTATAGGTTATAAAAAAAAACACTCGCCTCGATTTTTATTACCAATTATATAGTTTCAAGTATAAAGTTAGGGTTTAGTACTGTTTGTTGTGACATTAAATTAGTTTTGCTATCGTTGTTGGGAACTGTACGTTGTTCAAAGTAAGCCATGGGTATAGATAATAAACTTGTTAACCATTTTAATTATAATCTTACAAAGCCTATTTTTTATTATTATTTGAGATTGCAAAATATAAGACACAAGCTAGAATGAACTGTTCGATTCATTCGTATGATTTGTTGTTGAAATATTCCGTTTTTATTTCTTTTAGACCTGGAAGTACAGAACCAGATAGCGTGGTCCGAGCACTTGGATCCTCTGTTCGTGAATAATTACGAGATAGACCCGACGCTGTCCTGGCAATACTACGCTTCGTCGTCCGGTTTCATGAGGAGATATCCAGGTATTTTTTCGTTTGTTTCTTTTAATAAATGTAATTATATAGTTTAGTAGAGTGGAAAATACAATAAATGTATGTAATAATACAAAACCAACTTACAACAACAGAATAGCTAATAATTCAGATTAAAGCCCTCTAAAAATTAGAAATAAATTTTGAAAAAAAACCTCGAATATTCAACACAATATACGATTTAAAACATAGATTACGGATAAGCTCTTGGTCTCTGAAAATCAATAAAAAAATATGAATCAGACTGTTCTATATTACATGTCCATTCTAAGGAGCTTAGGACAAAAGAAAACTGTATTAAACTTCGATATTTTGTTCTAGCCATGTCATGGCCACCAGAAGACGGCTATTCCCACCACGCTCGTGATTTCTACGACTTTCGCTCATCGAATTGGTTCGTGGAAGCCGCTACGTCACCAAAAGACCTGGTTATCTTAATCGACGACTCAGACGACATGGGTTCGTCTTATAGAAGACTGGCGAAGGCGACAGTATCTGCTCTGCTGGACACTCTGGGACCCAATGACTTCGTGAATATCTTCAGATATAGTGACACCGTGTCAGAGTTACATCAGTGTTACACGAAGATCCTAGCGCAGGTAAGCTATCTTTATCAATAACTATTGTTACAGGAATACTGAGATGGCGTCATCAAGGAATGGGTAAGAATTAGTGGTCTATATAAGTGCGCGCGCCTTATTTCGACGGAGTTTGGTTGTGCCGATAACTATAGTCAATCTGTCTTTTTTTTTAATAATTTAGTGTTATGTTATTTATTACTGCAAAAGTAGGGTTATTTAAGTTTTTGTGAATAATGTAATGTCCGCCATTATCTTGTAGCGTATTACATAAATTTATAACGAAACAATTTTAATTTTGAATATTCAGGGGTCACATTTGTAGTGTGTTTTAAAGACTCTTACACTGAAAGGTCACATTTAAATTTTGTAGTGGTTCAAATGATATTTCTATTAACACCAGCCAGCAATAAAAACTTTGTTTATATAAAAAAAAACCTTTGGCATCATGTCACCTTAAATTAAACAACAAATAACAATTGACAAATGCAATCGTGTGAACGAATATCCATTTTTTAATTAAACTATGACGTCACTGCCATTTTAAACGCGAATAGACTGTTAAACATATTTAAATAACAAAGCCTAAACGCGATGTTATAAGTAATACAGAGATTAATGAAAACAAATATTTCATAGCTAATTTCGTTCTCGAAATTAGTAGACAAATGCATGTATTGCGTGCGACCTACACTTTTTTGATACGCATCTGCCGTTGTGTATTTATTATAATGGATTCAATCAAACATGACTTAAACCGTGGTTCGATTAAGTGCTGGTTTACATTAGTGCAGTCCAGTAACAGCTCTGAACTGGAGTGGGCAAAATCGTTTACAGTCTCAAGTTATTTACTGTAAAATGGTCAAGTAAGCATACCAGAACCATTTACAGTATTTTAGCAGCTTTTTTAATGATAGAAGAAAACTTACAAGCCTAGGTTTCACATTGGTGTAATACCTCAGCATATACAAGATACGCGGTCGACCTATTTTGATATTCGGAAATCCATAGACTGAAACAAAAACGTTATTAAACTTCACGGCTTTCTGTGGACGGTGGTTAACCCGGACGGAATTCTCATATTCCTACCGGGTGGAAAATTCAGTTAATTAATATCCAGATGGGTAATTGCTATCCAAATGGGTAATTAATATCCAGATTTTCAGATGAACTCCCCTTACACCAACGAACCCGTCGATGGTAGTACTAACTGTGCTGGAACTCATCGGCGGATTGGAATAATATGAAGCGGTCATAAAAGATGGATAATTTTGTGTCAGCAAAAAAGCGACTCGCAATATTTTTCGACTCGTTTTCTGAAGCTAAACGTATTAAAGACGTATTCTATAGAAATGAGAAAAGTCGACACTGAAACGAATGAGAGTTAAATTAAATTCCATTTGAAAAGGACTTTGACGAGTGAATATTTTGCGCGACAGAGCATTTCGACGATCAATGAATAAATTATAAGTTACAATCGTTTGTGTTCAATTAAAATAATGATTTATGAAGATATATTGTAATTGCGATGAATGTAATTACTTCAAGATTAGATCTATGTGATCTATCTATATGTATCAATGAACGATTTTATTTTTACTTAATTTGTCCAAGTATTAAAAGCCAGTAAATTTTAGTTTTATAAAAATGACCAAGCAAGAACGGACAGTTTTAAAATGTTTAAGTTAGTACTACGTTATTTACTTCGTATAATATATTATTAATTTCTAAATGTCACATTTCAATTAGACACTGAAAAAGAAAGAAAAACGAAAAGTTTTTTTTGCTTTGAAAAATAATTAATACAGACGGGTCTCAAACCCGCGACCAACGGCTATCTAAAATGCCCTACTAGCTAGTGCATGCTCATATTGGCATGTAAAAACTAAAATGCTTTCAAAAATATAATTCTAGATAAAATGGTTATGTTACATTAAACATTTAAAAGACAAAATGTAAGTAATGTTATTAATTTCCTATGAATAGTAGATAAATTGATGTTAGCGGAGAAGCACGAACTGAATATAAAATACAGTAAAGCGACACAAAATATCTTCTTAAATGGAATTCATCAATTGTCTAGTCCGTCCACGCACCTTAATGGAAGTATTGAGCATTGTAAATGATGTCTTTTAAGTGAAAAGTTCTATTTACTGTGTTCTGTGGAAATTAATGGACTTATACTTTGTTTAACATAGGATGTTAAGTTTGACAACGTCTAACATTGCATTAGTTAACAGTATAGAATATAGACTGTTCTTTGAACTCATAACCATAAACAATAGAGTGCGATTAAATAATAAGTTGTATTTAAAACTTTAATATTTTTCACATGTTTATTGCATATGATGGCATTATATAAATTAAAAATCGATTATCAATTTTAAAATAAATTTTAAAAATATGTACCTATGACTACTAATTGATTATAACACGAATAGCTGTGAAGTCGTATTTTTTTAAAAATTGATAATCGATTTTTAATTTATTATAAGTTACAACACGATTTTTTATTATTTTATAAAAAAAATATCGATTAAAATTTCCTTTAAATAAATTAATATCAAAACATATGCAAGAGTTCACATAATTATGTCTTTTTAATTTCTTATACATATCCATCCTATATTAGACAAAGTTTCGCGAAATTTAAGCAATATTAACAATAACACGAACCAGGCACCATTAACTATAGCAATATGAATTATTTACCATAATGAAACTACTTAATATAATTAATTACTTACGCAAAGGTAACTTTCATACGCATTCATTTACGCAGGTGCAACTGAACGGCAATTTCGGTTTTAATAAAAACGAAGTAATCCTGATACATAGTAATACATTTTGTATATCTCGAAGGATGACTCAGCTACAATAAGAGATAGCAATTTATATCTGGAGCATAAATCTGGGGTAAATAGACGTTTCCAGATATTTATCACAGTTACTAAAGAATATTCCGGCTTCTTGAAGACTCTAGAAATTTCGCTGGCGTCCGAAGTACATTTTAAAGTGGTTTAGTTTTGTTGTGGTCTCAAGATGTTACGTAAAACTGCAACACTTAAAGTGTCTCTTGAGATCACTTGACATGCGACTCGAGTATCGCGGTCAAGTCCAGATCAATTTAGTGTTAAAACAATTTTTAGTATTAGTTATAAAAACATTTTTCATTAATACTTTTTTGACTTAAACTCGAAAAAGCGTTCTATAGTCTATAGCAGTACAATGTATACTCTGTTAATAATTGTAAAGTTTGTACAGTATCTGTGGCGAGGGCGTGAACGAGAAGATTCCCGCGTAGTCCCGCTTTTGACAGGTGGCTGTTGCGAGCCCGCCTTTATGTCGAGTTCGCGAAGTCTCATGCACGCGCGAGTATTAACAACTTTGACTTGTCACGCTGAAATTAACAAAGTTATTACACTTCTCTTTCATGAGTTGTATTAAACATAAAATTGTCAAGTATAAAGTTGATAAGCCGCTTATCTATACTAATATTATAAAGCTGAAAGGTTTGATTGTTTGAACGCGCTAATCTTAGGAAGTACTGCTTCGAATTGAAATATAGGCTATGTAACATCAAGCTGCGACAACGTGAAAAAACGTTATGATCTTTGAGGGCTTCCGTTCAGAATGGTTCAATAAACCAAAAAAATAAGTATTATATAATGATTCCTTCTTAAACGGTCTAAAAAAAATTTTCGCGACGTTATATATCCTTTTAAGATTAAGTCGCAAGAACGACAAGACGCGCATGACGTCGTGGGTAGCAGCTGTACATTACAAAGCTGATAAGAGAAGGTGTGCAAAAATAAATTTGGATGCCTAATATAGCTATTCCACGCGTACAAAATTGTGGGCATAACTAGTTTTTAAATATTCTCAGAGTTAAAGATTTATTTCGATGATGCTGATAATGGATAACGACATGGAATCCGGGAAAATATTTTTTTTCGACGGACACGTTAATACGCTAAAACGTATACTAAGTAAGGACACGGAAATAAGTAATCCTTCCCAAACGATACGAGAGTCAATTTTTTTTTTTAATTCTATAAGCAGAGATATTACTGAACTACTTTTAAATTCACAGAGGTAAAGAAAATACAACCTATAAGCAGTCTGCGGTCAAGGCCACTCTGCTTACGTAATATTTTCCACTGTCTTGTATCTTATCTAAGTTATTTCGCTTACAATCGAAAAAACGGTTGTAATGCGATCTTTTTTATAAGTATCTGTCTACTTAATAAATTCTAGACGTAGCCATGAAGAACGGAAATAACAAATTGAATTTAATAATTTTCTAAAAGAAAATTAACTGGTCTAAAATGTTTTTCGTTAATTTATATATTTTTATAATCATGTTGAACTTCGTCTGGAAATCTTAATATTAAATGAGTGTTTAAATAAAACACTTTAACGGTTTAAAACGCGATATATTAGTTAAACTTATTTGAAAATGATTTTTAACTTCGGCCTGACGTTTCGGTCAGTCCCCCGTCACCACGGCTGCTGCAAAGCATCCGAAACGAAACCGAAGCCAAAAACCATTTCTAAATAAGTTTAACTAATATATCGCGTTTTAAACCGTTTAAGTGTTTTATTTAAATGTGTACTACTCGCGTAAACTATAGACAGTATTAAATGAGTGGTACAAAATATCGAAAATTCCGTCCGGGTCACGAACCACTGTATATGTAGATAAAGCTGTGAATTTTGACCGCGATTTCAGTCTATGGTTTTCCAAACCTAAAAGCAATAAGTCACCAGCGCACGTTGACATATTTCCCCTTTATTAAATGAACACTTTGTCTGCCCTTCTCTATCTTCATGTTTATTTTTATTCACGACCCGTTGCTAATTAGCCTACCTCCCTACCATTAGTCAAAAAAGTTTTCGCAATGCATTTCAGATTATAGAACTGTCGCTCGTCTCTCACCGTAAATTACTGGAATTAGGGCCTAGATATTTTCACTCGCTTATTACGTATTCACGAAGCGAAGTTGCAGAAGCACCTCGGTATGAACGACGCAGTTGTAATCCACTGCTTATATAACCTCTATGCCGCAGTTTTAATTCACTTGTAATTGTTTATTCACTGAGTAGAACATATAATATGAAATATATCACAATGCAAAATATACTATTGGTTTTATTTGTATTTTACTTCGCTTTTTTTAAGTCAAACTTTGCTGCGCGCTGTGGATTTGAGTTCAAGTCCCGCCGTATCGTATTTTTTTCAATTTTTATCGATTTTTAATTTATAACGTAATAATAACAAGTATACAGTACCAAATTCATATAGAATTTATTTTATTTGTATGTATTTGGTTTCGATACAACATGCATGCTTTTATATACTTATTTATATTACAGATTTTTTTAAATGTATAGAGCAACACCGTTACCGTTAAGGCACACGTTAGACTATAATACTAATATTCCTAATACTAATATACGACAAAATACTGAAATAAGCAAACGAGAGAGACAGAACATAATTGTATATTTTAATATAGATCAAAAAATTATGGACCTATATGTAGATCATTTAAATTGACACTGATGTGATTCGAATCGACGTCAAACCACGTAATGTACCATTGCTCTTCCTATCCTTGCCTTCCTTCCGCCTTACTAATTGGTGGCAACTCTCGTTATCATGAGAGACCCACGCTCCTCGTACCCCTCGGCCCCTCTGTATAAATTTAAAATACTTTTTAATTTTATATAAGAGCTCATGTGAAAATCGTGTATATTTATTAAATACTGTCTGTAGTATACGCGAGTAGTACCTATACATTTAAATAAAATAGTTTAACGGTTTAATTATTTTTCAAATAAGTTTAAATAATATATATCGCGTTTTAAACCGTTTAAGTGTTTCTATTGAAATGTGTACGTATCAAGAATAGAATAAAAGCCACAATGACCCTCCGATATAGATGTAGTGATGCACACTACATAACAGTTAATGTATCTAAATGGACTGACGACACAATTCCTTGACCTCTTGCAAGTATGAAGGCTGTCGAGCACTATCAACTTCGTCGAAATTCGAATCGTACGTAATACGAAGCTACGATGTCGCGTAATAGTATTGTATCACTTTAATTAGTGTTGTGCTACTAGTGATGTACTTGAAATATACTTTATATACGCAGAAATGTATAAAAACAGTTTTCATTTCATTTTATAGGCCGTTCCCGAAACAATACGAGAGTTAAAAAGTGCTGTTTGGGGAGCCGAGCCATCAGGAGGAGCAGCTAATTTGACTGGAGCCCTTACAACTGCTTTTGAAATACTTCATAGGGTAAGTATTTTTATAACATGTATGTATATGTTATAACATGTTGCAAGTAAAATGTTGGAAACAAATTGATTATTTCGAATAAGCTCCATAATAGCTTTACTTTTAATTTATCGAAAGATATGAGAATATTACCCTTATGCCGCCTAGGCCTACAGCGGTATGTCAAGGGCATACTTACGTTAATTACAAATATTGTAAGGTTTTTAAGTGAATAAATCTGAGTGTCCCACTTATGGATGGACACCCACACGTGAAAACTGCTAAACAAAATAGAAATAAAAAAATTTCAGAATGTATTTAGTATGTGAAAGTTTTATTTAAATCAATTATATATATAATAAATGTATTTAAAACATTTTAACGGTTTAAAACGCGATATATATTAGTTAAACTCATTTCAAAATTGTTTTAACTACAGCCCGACGTATGGAAGACTGCTGCTGCAAAGCATCCGAAAGTTAAACTAATATATATCGCGTTTTAAATTGTTAAACTGTTTTTTAAAATGTCTACTAGTTTTTCAAATTTGGAATATACGGAGACATTTTTTTATACTTGACGTGTTTTCATATATTGTATAATGCATTTCGTTATTGCCTTACGTAGACTGCCGAGTTTCATTTATAAAACAAGGTGAATGAAGTTATTTTCGTTCGCAGTGAATATATTTCCAAATTAAGTTATTTTAGCTCCACTTCAGAGGAATTAAAAAGCTTTTTGGTCCGTGAACTTTGCTATCGCGCGATGCTATTTGTCTAAACGTCTAGTTTTGGAGCAGCTAAAAATAAAATTCGTTTGTAGTATAACAGGACCGGACAGGGTTGCCAGTGCAATCAGGCGATAGCGGTAGTGGGCGCGGGTGGTGGGGCCGGCGGGGTGAAGGGGGTGTTCCGTACTTGGAACTGGCCGCATATGCCTGTCCGAATATTCACGTATCGAGTTGGAGGTGATGCGGCTTCGGGAAGCAACATGAAGGATATGGCTTGCACCAATAAAGGTAACAATGAAAATTATAATATTTCCTTTTGACGTGACAACGTCTTATAATTCGATAGAGCCGGCTGCACGCACGAAAAAACATGACTCATGCGGCGTTACCTCGCTCTGAGCCGTTCCATGTAAGGCTTGAAGTGCAATTGAGAGCGCGGAACGAGCGACAAAGAAGCACAATCGGCTTTTGTGTTCGGCAGCGTTCGACATCCGTCTCTCTCAACGCACATTTATACTTGTAAAAACTTAAATTATAAATATTATGCGTACAAATAAATCTAACTTGATCAATTTCATTGTGATTTCCAATTACCTCCTTCTCTATATACATACAAATCAATTTAAAAAATTAAATTAAAAAATTTCTTTTAAAAAAATGCTACCATTCCATCAGTATTTACTTAAGACGTTGTTACATTCAACTATCGTCAGTAAACCAACTTTACAGACTATCAATTTATTTATAATAGCCTCGGGCTCATTGGTGTAATGGTTGCTACATTACAGCTAATAATCAACGAGTCTGTGCCCGACCCCCAAATTTTCTAATCATGAATACCCCTCCCTTATAACATCTAAACAAAATGCGCTTATATATAATCATTACGTATTGGCTTCGGATATTCGGGAATCCGCAGACTAAAACCATAACCCGATTAAACTCCACGGGTTCACTATCCATTCGCGACTCCGGTGAAATCTTATCCCTACTATTCAATATTCGACGAAAATCTAAAATGTTCAAAAATCATACAATCTTATTGCGTGTTAGAACATAGTATGCAATGTATAAACTTAGTGATGTGACAGTTAGATATATAGGCGAAAAATCCTGGCAACTTAGGTATATATGTTGTACACCCGTAATTCGACTTTTTATATTATATATTATAATATTAATAATTGAAGGCCTAACATACACCCTTATATAACTAACCTAATAACTGGCCTAACATAGACTATTGAACGAACTATAGCCGTAGCACGTGTACTACGCTGCTACGCCGTAGCAGAGAATCATGGAATAAGATAGGATTTTGTTCTCACCAACTTTTCTATATTATGAAACATCTTTGATAAAAAATCGCTATATATGCTATTTGATACTCTCTTCTTTAACTATATTTCCTTTTTAGGATTCCACGTAACGATAAATGACCACGGCGAAGTGAAATCTAAGGTGTTGCATTTCGTCGAAGTTCTTGCTAGACCTCTGGTTATGTACCAGAATCTGCATCCAGTACATTGGAGTCCGGTCTATGTTGGAGGAAGGGTAAGGGACCTCTTTTAATAAACCTATCTAAACTTTGAATGTACGCAATTTAGGCCGCATTTAAATAAAACACTTGCACGGTTTAAAACGGGATATATTAGTAAAACTTATTTGTAAGTAATTGTAACTACGGCCCGACCCGTCTCCCGGACACGCGCTGCAAAGCATCCGAAACGTCGGGCAGTAGTTAAAATAATTTTTAAATAAGTTTAACCAATATATTATATCGCCTTGTAAACCGTTAAGGTTTTCAATTTAAATGTGTACTACTCGCGTAAACTACAGGCAGTATTTGGTTTTGGACTCTTGCGGTTTTTTATCGTTGAGCTACGACCATGACTGAAAAGTCATACTTCAAGTAGTTATTATTAAGTTTTTCGTATGGTATGTATACAGAGTAGCAGCTTGGACGACGATGGAATGGGCCAACTTATGACATCAGTTACTGTACCAATCTTCGACAGGAGAAATCATACCGTAAGTTAACATACCTCATAGGATAAGGAAATATTATTAATTTAATTTTGACAGAAGAATGTCTGTTCTACCAAATATGAATTTGATGGTGTCTTTGAATGCCTATACGTTCCAAAAAAAAAGGGGGGGCCCCTTTTTGCTTTTTTTTTTTCCGTCTGAGTTCTGGACAGAATGAAGCCTAAAGCTGAATGAATAAGATGAAACAGAAGTTACATTCTCAGATCAGATCATATTTTTCACATGTTACTGCAGGTTATGGCATTATATTATATATACAAATCGATTGAAAAATAAATTACGACACGGGCAGAAATTGAAGCGGCATCTACAACTTTCTGTGCTGCGGATGCCGAAACAGAATGTTTGGATTGAGCTACCGTGTTCGTTCGTAGTTGTCCTGTCCGTGTTGTAAATTTTTGTCAAATCTGATCGATTTTTAATATTTATACTAACAGCCTCTTTTGTAAGGATGTAACTTTTAAATGTTTATCGTAAGTACATATTAATTAGATATGTTAATACAGCAAAGGGAAGCTAATCTGCTCGGAGTAGTTGGTACTGATGTTCCTGTTGACCAGATAAAGAAGCTCGTTCCACCGTATAAGGTAATTAAGGTTCAAAATTATAAAATGTTTTCAATTGTATATATGTTTAAAATGCTTGAACGTTTTTTTTTAGATATATCCTGAAGACAACATCTTTCAATAATATTCTATTTTAAAACTTGATAATTTATACGTTTTGAAAATAAAACATTTTAACGGTTTCACTCGCGAAAAATATTAGTTAACTTTTTTTTAATTTAATTTAAGCGTTGTCATGAGGGGTGTTGAAGATGTAGGGTGTTCCTAGCTGCTTCTCTAGCGCCATCTGTTTTGATACAGAACTAACTCACAGTGTTCTCTCGTTTATTATAAACGTGGGGCTATAATAAAATTAACCATAATTTAACTAATATTATATTACTATATTTTACATTTAAACTACAGACAATACTTGCATTTTGCAGCTCGGAGTAAATGGGTACTCATTTATGGTGGATAACAACGGGCATGTTTTGTATCATCCTGACTTAAGACCTTTGGTAAGTTAGATTAACTTTATGGAAAGTTATTAAGTACAAGTAACTGTGTGCATTTGTGTAATATTATTTTTTGTTACAGTACACAAATGAGGAGGTAAGTTTTCAGTAAACTAATTAACAAGTTTTGTTAAGATTATTCGAAACTAAAATATTTATATATTATTAAATTTTTATGTAGAACTTTCTTGATCCAAAATCAATAATTCAAGCTTTACAAACTTAATGAAATTAATTAATTCAGTGTTTAGACCTAAACTAAGTAATTAACTAAATATTGTTGCTCTGAAATTTGAATACAATTTAGTTCTTTTTATATTTGTATTCAAGTGAAAGTACTCATTTATATCCTGTCAATTATTTGTATAGAAAAGCAAGTCTTTCTTTATTCAGGCCAATAGGTAGTGGGGCGATATTATATATAATTAAACCGCGACATACTTTGGATTTTAATCCTGGACGATAAACCTAATAAGTAATATTTGCTGTTCTTACAGTACACTGAAACATTACGTCCACTCTACTCAAGCGTAGATCTTACTGATGTAGAATTACTTGTGGATTCAGATGAAAACTCTCGTGTCAACCTCACTTCTCTACTTCTTGACGTAAGTATCACTCAAAACCCCTACTTCGACGTTATTTCAAAACAATAAGTTGTCAATGACAGTCTGTCATCTCTCGTTGACAGTTTAGCAACCGTCAATTCCACTATATCGAACATACCCAATCTCAAGTGTTACTTTACGTTTCGACATATAATAGGCATTAAACGAACTATGCGATCAATTTGAACGTTATAGATGGCAGCACTGCAACAGATTAGTATTATGCTACGGATAATATAAATTGTACCTGCCTTATCTTTAAAATATTTTTATCTTTTAGCTTCGTCACGATATGATAGAACAACGTGAAGGTGAAACGGAAATCGGTGTAAAGGTCCAATATGATGGTATGAGGCGAGTGGCTACACGCCGTCAAAGATACTTCTACAGTCCAGTGGAGGGGACCCCATACTCCCTGGCCGCTGTTCTACCGGATGGCTACGGAATGTACGAACTGCAGGCGGAACAGGAAATCAAACATAGCCCGATCAATAGTATGGATTTTTATTAGCATTTTTTAATTTTCCCATTATAATATAAATACGAGCTTATATGGAGAAAGTGTACTAACTTCTATTATTATTTATTTGATTCTTATTCAATGGTTTTCTTTATAGTTACGGAATATTTCAAAGGGGAGAATTGGAAGGTTCATCCAGACTGGTAAGTAGTTAATTCAAAGGCGTCTTAATTATTAGTATGTAGCTGGTGGCAAATCTTTAGTAGTAGTGCTCGACTAAAGTGTGCAAAAAGTTTATCACAATCGCTTCAGTAGTTTTTGGGGAATAATAATCGAACAATATAAGAAGTTTAAAATTATAGCCAAATGCATTATTATTTAATGAATGCAAACGAAATTTCAATTACTTAGGTACTAAATGTATCGATGACCTGACATTAACACCAAAATTGTGTATGTGGGCGTTTGAAAGTGCAGCCACGTTCATTGTATATTCAGCACGTAGGCGTTTGAAACTGGTTGGCATTTAAACGTCATTTAGGCTTTAGTTCAGTTATTTTGGGAAGTTTCAGTCTTCATAAATTATCGTATAATTAATAGAGACTAGCAAAATACATTAAATTAAAAAAAAAACTAGTTCAATCCAAATATTTTTTCATAGACCTGAGTCCGTTTATTTAGTGGTTTCTTAGACATTTGTATCAGCTGTACTATCAAATTTTCGTTTATTTATTTAATTATAAAAATATTCTACTATTACAGAACAATCTCCATTGCGATAGAATTATTATATACATATTTCATAGAGTGATGTATTTGTCAATTCACCCAAGCTGTACGTAAAAATGTCGATCCCCTCATGCAGCTTGTTGCTAACACACATAACACGAGCAAATTGTTTGTGTAAGATGTAAATAAATCAAAAAATGTATCTAATCTAATATAAAAGTTTGACTGTGTGGCGGAAGTTGTAACTAATTACCGACAGTACGACATTTTAAATGTTATTTTGCTAAAGTTAAAAGTAACTCTATTGAGTAAAGCTGCCGTTGCTCTTAAATTATTGGTATGGAATAAAACGTAGCCACAAGAACAGGGGCAACAGGATAGAGGTGTTTAAAGTATACATAAGTAAGTGATTTAATAGATATCTACATTTGCCTTTTGAATGTTTTCCCTTTAATTCCAGCCCAGGACCTCTGTTAATGTAATATAGAAATTAGTGGATTAAGATAATATATTATACAATAACCAATGGACCCATCGCTTATACAGGGTGTACTGTGAATACGCGTCAACTTCAGACCAAACGTTTAACTCTCCTGAGGAGCAGTTGCTTCACTTCTTGACTCGCACCGGTCGTCCCGGATGGAAGTGGATGTCACTACGACCTCGTGCCCTGACGCTGCATAACGCGCATAAGAAACAAGAGAGAGACTCTTACTATTGTAAGTTTACTAGTAATTACAACTTATAATTTATAAAAAAAAACAAGTTTTAACGGTTTAAAACGAAATATATTCGTTTTAAACTACGAGGTGCAGTTCACAATGTGAACTGCACCTCGTAGTGTCGTGCCTTATATCGCGTTTTAGAGTTTCATGTAAAAATAGGATTGAAGTGTAATCTTCATAATTGGATATGAATTGTTTGACTTTTAGAAATAAGTTCACATCAGAACTTTATTATCATTATTTATTATAAGTGATAAAATAAATGTATTCTATTTGCATAAACTACAGACGATATATTTTTATTTGTTCCAGGTGATAAAACACTAGTACAGTCTCTCGTTAGAGACGCAATGGTAATAAAAGAATTAGACACGCATACAGGACATGCCAGCCACCACTCCCAGTAAGTAAACCGTTTTATATATAGCACGATACAATTTACAAACAAATAAAACAAGATGGCGCTTTTATAAACTTCAAAATAAAATTCAAAATGGCGCTGCTTCAAATATTAATTGCATGTTCAATATAGCACTGATCACTAATTTGTTATGTTTGTCACACAAATAGCCCGATTGCAACATTAATGGCATTACTAACAAGGTATAGTAATAAGAATACGTATATTTGGGGCTAGATGTTGGTACTAGAAACTTTACAATAACGATAACTTACGTTTTATAACAGTATTTTTGAAAACCCCCCTAAATGCAAATAATTTTACAATTTAACGTGCAAAAACGTTATATTAAAACATTTAGCTAGTGTCAGGTTAGACTGAGGTGTTCTTTAATCTTATTGGCTTAAATATTATCTAAAAGTAATTAAAATATACAAATACAGAAATAACTAATTAATGTATACACTTAAGTATTTTTTATTTTGTTGTTATGAATGAAAAAGAATTATGATTTCTGTATTTGGACGTGTTTTATTAAATTCGTGCTAATTCTAACAAGGTAGATTGTATTATTCCGCAAGTTATGGTATTACAGTTTAAGCTTTCCAGGATCCAGGTAATAGATGTAAGGTTTTTTACAGCTAGCTGAAGGATTGGTTTTTAGTAGATAATCATTATTTTTGGTAAAGAGGTGTATTCTTTACCAATACTTCTTGGTATAAACCTGTTAGAGTAAGAGCAAGTCCAATGTTCGTTGAAGAAGACAAAGAATGTAGGCGAAATGTGTACGCGAGGCTGCTAGAGACAAAGTGGCCTAATAACAAAAAACATGGCTTTAGGACAAACATAAAAATGCGCAAATAACTTAGGCGTAGATGAATGAATTTTGCTATTTGAGTAAAAATTTTGACTACTTTAGTTTTACTATTTTAGGTCACAGTGCTCTTGTAGATAAACATTTTTAGACTATGAAAATATAAATAACTCAAGTCATAAAATTGCAGTTAGGCTACTCTGCCTCTAGCGGCCTCATATTATCATTACTTAAATTTAATTAGGTTCAAATATTAATGTTCTTAAGTCAAGTTATTGAAGTTATAATGTCGACATAAATTGTTAAAAAATAAAGCTATTAACTACTGTTAAATTTATATTCGTTTTTCGCACATCAAAGCAATATTTAAATTAAAAACAATCTTTACAGACAAGGCCGATTCCACAAGTTCGTGGTGACGATGTCCTTCATTGCGACCAGGAGTGGTCTTCTCAAATGGACTGAGAACGTCAACACATCAAGATCTACGGATTCTATAGAATCGTGAGTAATTCTTATGTCGATGTTTTTATCAAATACAAAAAAATGGCAATCCGTAATTAAAATCTTAAAATCAAATATTAAAATGAGTTTAATGTAACGATAAAATAACATCTACCTATTTGCTATAGAATTTTTGCAATCAATTTATTTACCTACCATTTACGGTACTCACAATTACGATAATGCCTTAGGGAACTATTTTAATTCAATTTGTTACACTGTTAAAAATACGGAACATTGTGGATGCCGGTTCAAGTCCTGGCCGTGTCGTAAAAATCGAATTTTAATTTATCTAATGCCATCATGTGAAAAATATTAAGGTTTTCAAATATCGTTACGGATTCAAATGTATGCCGCAAGCCCAACAAAATAATATGTTTGTTTACAGTCACTTCAGTGAGAAATACGCACGATCGTTCGATTCCGAATGGTATCGACGTGCAGTAGAACACCACTCCATAGAACCGGAGAGTTTCGTCTTTTCCGTGCCTTTCCGTGACGGTTCCGAAGCTGATGACTTCAATGGGAAACCGCCTTTAGTCCTGGCAACGCACGCTGTGTTCGTCGAGTCTAGGGGCCATCGTGCACCAGCTGCGGTCGTTGGTTTACACTTCCAGCTGGATTCCCTCGCGAAACACTTCTTGAATGTCACCTCTACGGTATGAAAATGAGACCCTCTCTAAACCTTCTTTCTTTTAATAATTAAGAAAATTAAATTGGAGAAACGCGTTTGTAGTGAAAATCTGTAATGTTGAAAGTATTTGAAAAAAAAAGAAATGAATTTAAAAAATCTTTGATAACAAAAAAATGATGATAGTTTAAGGAATTTGTAATAAGTTCAAATGTTAAAATTGATTAATTGAATAAAATCAATATCGTAATGTCATTATTTCTATTCTAGTGTACCGCTGGCAGTGTCTGCAAGAAAACATGCGCCGGCGACGAGCTAGACTGCTACATCCTGGACGACAACGGTTTCATAATTTTATCTGAAGATGCATCACAAACTGGAAGATTTTTCGGTCAAGTGGATGGAACTATAATGGACTCTTTGGTCCAAGACAAGATTTACAAGAAAGTAACGGTACACGATCATCAGGGAAGATGCCCAGATTCAAGAAACCAATTTAGTGGCGATGGGAACAAGTTGACACCCATGAAACCTTTATCGTGGCTTGGTGGATATCTTGCAAGGCTCTTGACGGTGTGGTACCCGTTGTGGGATTCCGTTCTGGCTTATCCTTACACAGAAGATGAAACTGGTAAGTGTTTGATTCTTTATTACCTGTATACATTAAAAAATGTGCATCTTATCTTATCGTCAGTGGAGATTTCTTCCAGACAACCCTGCATGTAAAAAATAATTTTCTGTTGAAATGGAGTAACAGTAGAATTTAAATATTCTATTTCATTTAAGAATAGTACATTATATTCCGATATAATATATTATGTTGTTTGAATACCAATAAATAAAGGTATATAAATAAGACGTAATATTCTACATCAGAAAGAATTGTTAGTGTCTTTGTGCTCGTTCTTGAACCCAAAAAAACCAATGTTTTCAAATATTTCAATAATGGATATAGAGATGAATTATGTTTCATTATAATAAAAAAAATAGATATAAACTCGTTTTTAATGCACAGATTACGAAGACTACGAAGGCGAAGAGGACCTGGAGCGAGATCGTGGGATGTACGAGATAATAATCGATGGTGTTGGCGATGTGAGCCCGGAGCCCAGCGCTGCACCTCCTCACACACCAAGGGAACCCCCACGTGAAGCGGCCCGTTCAGCGGCTGTGAGACCGTGCGATACCAGCGCGGAATTGTTCACGTTGCAGAGTACCAGGTTAAACGCCGCCCAGCCGTTGAAGGGGAAGCTGACTAATTGCCATAATTCTGGTTGTGAAAGGTAACGAATAAAACAGAACTTTTGTTTTTGACGTTCTATGGTTTGCACGTAGATTTTTTATGATAGAGATAAACAAGCGGTTCACTCAATGGAAGGTGGAATACCCTAGTTATATAACAACTCGACAAGATGTCGGCATATTTTGGTTTTGGATATTTGAAAATGCACAATAATTTCATAACCTTTTATCCGTAGTTGATGGTTCGTGTCCCGGACGGATATTTTTATATTTCTATCACTAGCCTTTAAACCTTAGTCTGTAGTTATCATATGGAATATGTTAACTACAGACTAACTTAATTTTATTTATATTAAGAGTTTGTGTCATCGTTCCATCCCATGAAAGGGAGTTAAAACAAACCTATAATCAACTACACGTCATACTTTCCGGTAATTGGATAATCAACCAGGAATCCCTTATTCCAGGATTATCCAATTAGCTTTTCACCTGTCTTGTGTTTGATTCTAATACGAACTCTTACAGACCATTCAGCGTGCAGAAGATCCCCCATAGCAACCTGATCCTCCTGGTAGTGGACACGCTATGTCCGTGCGGCGCCAAGCGTCTGGACGTGCGGGCACGGGAGGCCCCGCCCCGCGCCGCCTGCCGCCGCCCACCGCGTGCGACGCATCGCCGAAGACCACGTACCTGCGTTTCTTATCATCCTGAGGTACTTAACTGTTGCTTCGCAGAAGGGGAATGAGAAATGGGTGAAATGGTCAGCAAATGGCGCGGACTGATTACCCGGCCTTCTTTCGGTGTCCCCAATGGAAAAAAAAATACTGTTGCTAGCTAGATGGATGAAAGCTTTTTAATTTTCCCATTACTATATACCACTCCCCGTGGGGCATGGGGCGAACACATTTCTGTGTCCGTTTCAGTGATCAGGGTTTCTTCCAGGCAAGTAGTTGACCAGACATTTGTGCCCTGTCGGATTGAAACAATCTATTGTTTCCTCAGATTTTGAACTCAGGACCTCTCGCGCTTAACACAATGCTAGGCAAGACGTTTAACCATATGGCTATCGGACATATGGAAATTAATTAAAAACACTTTCATTATAGTTCCTGTTCTTGACTATTGAATTTTTATCTATTAGTCTTTACATTGACCATGGACTAATGTTATTATATATAAAAACACTTTTTTTCACATATAAATTGTATTTCTTTTAGGAAATCGAGATCCAGTCGTGCGGTGGCGCCGGTCGCTTCGAGGCGCTGCCCGCTCTCTTTGCCGCGCTCCTACTACGGTTATCACTCTCCTTCGCCACGTGACTATCTCGATACTAACTCGATACGCACTAGCTTTCCATAACCATATCGAATTTCATATCAACACTATCATTTTTTAATCCGGATCGTTTCGAACGGAAAGCTCTGCGAGTCGATGTGTCATGTGTTCGAATCGTGTGTGAATGTTGAACGTTGGACTGTACCTCGTTGAGTGCGGTAGCTCTGGATTTTGGGGACAATTATATTAAGAATGCTGAAGAATTATAATATAAACAGTTTGTATACCATATCGTTATTTTCCCTAGCATAGGAAGAGACTGGTTTCTTCACGAAGCTTATGTTCGTTAAGATCTTTCTCACGAGTGTAAACTAATTTTACTTGTGAGGAGTCGTCTGCTATCTTACACAGGTGTCTTCAAAATAGATATGTGTTTCCATATAAGGGTTTGTAAACGAGATTTCTTCAATCGAAAATAGTCGACTATTGCGATAGAATGCGTGACAGTAAACAAAACAATTTTTATAGGCACGCATAGGCCAGCCCTTGCAAAAAAGAACTTATATATATTTTTTGCTTGATGGCATGATACTTTTAAACGCGCGTATTTTAATACAAACATTATAATTCTAACACTATAATTATCCAGATCACATAGTTATAACAACAATACCATACCTTTACCAATTGTATACCTATACCTTTTGCGATATAATTGTCCCTAAACATTGTCTCTTAAGAAACTCGTAACAGTGTTTTGCAACGGGACGATCAGAGCTACGCGAAGCCTTCGCGAGGCGTTTAGGAGTTTTGATCAATTTATCGACTGAAGTTTTGGTCCGACCAAGTGAACTTTTGATCTTGTTTTGAGACAGGATTTATTACTAGGCTAAGATACGGTTTAGAACGTTTCCACACTCCGTTGAGTTCACTTGTATTGATGCATTCGCGTATTAGTGCAATCTTGTTAATTAACTTGAAACTTATAAATTATAGACGATGTTAATAGGTAATAAATTATTTAATCTAAAGTAATTACTGTTTTAGAAAAATTTACCTGCGTTGACCCTTTGTTTCCCGTGAGAGTATCGAATTCTATAGCTGTACAAAGTTTCGTTTGATTATTTTACGTCTAGGCCGCTGTGAGCGACATCGTTATCTGTGGATCTATAGTATATGTGTAGGTAATTATTTCGGTCTAATGTATTCAACGATTGTCATCGGTGTCCTTGCAGTGATTTTCCATTTGTAGTTGCTAGGATTTCCACGGCTAATCTCTAACGTTTGAGAAGTTAACGTTCTCATATTTAATTGTAAATATTTTGAAGGCCTACGGTTGACGTGTGCCGCTAATTTTAATTAAATTCCTAAGAGGCATTTATGAAGTGTGTAAATTCTAGAGACCCTCGTGCCGCTTATGGCCTCGAAAATTTAATACGGCGTCACTTTGCTGATAAATTTAAAAGTGTAAATACTCTTTTTGGAATTATTAATATGGCGTATCTTAATATTCCTTATCGTGCAACGATTTATTCTTTTATTTCACCCGTGGCTTTGTGAATGGGGAAGTATACTCCGTCTACGGGACAGAACTGTTTTAAACTTGCATTTTTTAAAATCCATATATAGTACATCACCTTTGGAAAAAGTTCTTTATATCGAATATAACCTACCGGTTGAATATATTATTATTGATACGTTGCAGTGGAATTGGACGGAGTATACCTTAATCTCAATATAAATACAAAACGGGCTTGCTCTTGTCCATTCTATATATAAAAATGTCCATAAAGCTCTGAAATAGTACAAACTACATAGAATCCCTTGCAATGTGTGCCAAAATGCAGAAGTATTACGTGTTATTTCGTGTTTTACGGGGCAAAAGCAAGCCACATTGCGTAATTCGTTTTGAAAATGTTCACTGTCTGGAACGCGGCGTGCATAGTCTATAAAATGTAACTAATTCAATTCTATGTTAGCCAGAAAAATTAATCTTCAGCTAAAGATAGGTTGAATTAAATCATTTTCACTACTTACTTCTCAGTGAAATCGGATGACACTATCTCAAAGAAAATCTTAAAACTAAATGTCAGCATTGAGAGATTTATCTCATCAAATAATATAACATTTTATAGTTACGTACGCGTTTTGTTTGTAACACCGGAAAGTGTATTATCATTAAATTAATCTATAACATTTGTAATAAATCTAATTTGTAAGCAAGTACTAATCGTATGCTAACGTAAGTGAGAAATAGCTTAAGCCGGGTACTGACCAACGTACGTAACATGTTACATAGCGTTAGGTGTGTACCCGGCTTCAGAATATTTCGCAAACAATTCTCACCCTTGAAATATTAGTCCTAAATATGTTCCGAGTGAAATCTTGATAATCCTAAACGTTTTCAATGGTTCCGCGGTCGATTGTAATGTAACCGTATTTACAGAGTTGTTGATGCTTTTGAATTATTGTACATTTTGTATAAACTATACATAAGTCAATATAAAGATGTAATCGTTTCTATGGGTCGCGGCATGAGAGAGCTGATAGAGACGGTAGAGGTCTTTATAACGTTAATTGACATATATGTATACCAAAAACGGGTTAGGACAACAAACTGACAGGCTTAAGAATGAAATATTTTTTCTGGAAATATTGCCATTAATTCTTCTCTTCTTGAAGATAATTATTAAATTTTCAATTCTTGTCCTTGGTCTCAAACTCTATCGAGAATGAGCATTTAAATAAATAATAAAAAAATAACTATTTACAATTTTAAAATCTTATCAAGATATAAAATACTGTAAATTAATAAACATTTAACGTTGAGAAACGTGACTATACACAGACTCCCCCCTCCCCCTTCTTGAAACTGGAACCTCCATTGGCGTCGTGGTTTCAGCTACACTCACGTCGCGACCTATACCAGTGTGTGTAACGAGTATTGTATTGAAAGTGCTTCTTGAAAGCGTCGAGTCTTCCATAGCATTCGTCAGGCGTTACTTTAAGTATTAAAATGATAATAATAGTGTATACTCTATAGTATAGGGGCGCTCGTGCGCATGATTCGGGTTGCACTGCGCGGGTCTAGTTCTATCATAGACAATGGATATACCTCGTTTAGTTACGCAAATATAGACAATCGGGATTAACTTCGAAGCGCATACTGCCGATCGAATATAACAAAATTAGCGGGAACGCCATATAGAATAAAAACGGAGGAAAACTATTACTTCAGTTTGCATTTCTACTTGATATCAAAACACTTTTAACGGTTTAAAACGCGACATGTTTAAGCTATTTTATTTACAACGAATTTGAACTACATCTCGACGTGACGTTAGATGCTTTGCAACAGCCGTTGTCACGGGGGGACTAAAGATGTCTCTAATGTCAAAGTACAAAGTTCGACGTTAGCGCCGTCTGTTCCGTCGTAGTTGGTATTTGGCGAAACTGGTAATTGCAGAATTGCCACAGGATATCCTCTCATTTGTCGGTACCCAGGTGTCTGATATCTTATAAATTGTAAATCAATTAACATTTAGAATTCTGAAATTTTGGAACTTCGATCGGAGGTAAGCGCTTGTCGAAATTACATCCGATATTCAGTTGTTTCGCATTTATTTCGTGGACATATCAAATCAGGCACCAAACGACTATAGCGTAAGCGTTCTTTTATATATGTCAATGGGATTTTAAGGAGGCCTCGTCATATAGAATTTCAAACCCGCCATAGTAGCTTTATATATCATATAGATATATAGACATATAAGTAGAGAAATGAAATTATATAGAGTAAAACTCGTGTTATTTATTTAGCCGATTGTTTCGATGCGCACGCGGTCTCCTTAAAACGTTCGCACTAAGGTCTGTAAGGTTTTAATACGTCACTCTATCGGTGTAAATTTTCTAAAGTTCATATCCGTTTGTTTTCACCCCTTTACGACTATAACGCTTCTAGGGTTTAGATATATCGAAATTTGTGGATCTGTCTCGATGTCGCTGTCGTTTTTGGTTTAGCGTATAATTATAACTAATTGATTATAGTTGTCTATCGGGGCACGGCCGACTGTGAACATGGTTCTCTAGTGTAATTCTAGGAAAATATTGTTCGTTTTTTTTTGTTACTTGCCAGTTCATGCTATAGATAAACCGTAATTACAATAAAGTTCTCTTATAACATTGTGACTCTGTGTTTTATTAATTTTCCCAATTTCCATCGAATGATTTATCCATCCTTTTAAAAACCCAATAACGCATACATTCAAACTTAATCTAATTTTTCAGTTAACGATTTCATATTAATTATTTCAAGAATAAACTGTTTTAAATAGCCCGTTTTAAACCGTAAACTGTTTTAGAAATTCCACTTCATAAAGCATTGTATTGCACGTCTTTAGCGCGGGAAATAACATAAAATAAAATAATTTAAACGAATTAAACCGTAAGTTCCATTTAGCGTTTAAAGTCTAACCGCTGCTTTTATTCAACACAGGTTAAACCGTAATTTAACTTCTCATTTATATTTCTATTAAAAAAGTCCAGTTGTACTAATAAGAAACACGAATTTTACGTATATTAATCGATCAAATTAAAAAATCGATTATAGATTGATGATCGATGAGGTTATCGTCAAATGATTCCTCAATGTTATCAACAAACATGTTTATGAAATATTCAAAACAATTGGGATTCAAAATGAAACGTCTCGTAAAGTATAAAATAACTTATATCAAGCATAAGCAACTTACAATAAGTTCGATTACATGTAAAGACTGGCGGCGAAGATGATGTCACGTTTGAGCAATCTGATGCCGTCACTGAACTTTTGCTCCAAGTCTGTGTTTCCGATGTTCTTGGCTGCTTGGCACAACTGACGCAGAACCTCTTCCAAGCGACGCATGCAACGGATTATCGAGCCTGGTGGAAGTAAAAGAAAGCACGATACAATGACTAGCTGTGCCAGCGACTTCGTCCGAGTAGAATAGTTATTTTAGGAATCAAAGTTGCGTCCCGCCGTTCTTACGAGTTAATTTAAAAGATCGATTAATATACTGTCGCGGACTGTTAGATTATCAAAGGGAAATTTTCGCAGCGCATAAAACGGAAGCCCTGAAAGAGTAATAATCTTGCCCGTTTCCACATTTCCTGCTTATTGGTTGCAGCGTAATGTGGCCACTAAAGGCATAGTAGCCTTACTGCAATTTTATGAATTTTATAGGCCAAATATGTCAATCTACGAGAGCACAGTGACCGAAAAATGTTAACATACCTAATACTAACACAAATAATAGTACAATTCATTTTCGCATTTTTATTTTCCTAATTACTGAAAATCATGTTTTTACCACCCTTCCTCCAAGTTTGTCGATAAATAGTCTATCCAACACAAAAATAATATTTGATTTCGAACCAGTAGTTCCCGAGATTACCGCGTTCAAACAAACGAACTCTTCAACTTAATATCTAATATATAAAATTCTCGTGTCACAGTTTTCGTTGCCATACTCCTCCGAAACGGCTTGACCGATTTTGATGATTTTTTTTGTGCTTATCCGGTATCTATGAGAATCGGCTAACATCTATTTTTCATCCCCCCAAATGTTAGGGGTAGTCCAACCCTAAATTTTATTTTTTAGACAAAATGTTTAATATCTATTTTTTATGATACAAACTATACAAAAATACATAAAATCCTAAATTTTCACCCTTCTACGACCAACCCTTATTTTTTATTTTAAGTAATTTAATCGTTTTTCTTCTCCTGAATTTATTTATATGGCAAAACAACGTTTGTCGGGTCAGCTACTATTAGTATAGATTAAGAACACGTAAAACTTGGTAATTTAAACCACGATCAGTTTTGGACACGTGTACCATTGGAGCCCATGATAAAGATAAACCAGCAATCCAATAAAAATAGTTCCACGATCGAAGCTTAAATTAAATTCTAACCTTCAAATACGTCAGTCATCTGGCAGATCTGCAGGAAATTGGCTCCTTGCGCCCAAGCGAACACCACGTCCATAATGGTGCACTTGAACTTGCCCACATAGTCGTCCTCATTAATATCCATGTTTGCATCTATCGATATCTTGGCTATGCGTCTTGCGAATTCCTGTTGAAACAGTTCAATTTTTAATCTAAAAAGCATATGATACATATTGGACGATAAAATATATTTAATTTGAGGTTATTATGAAATAATTTGTAAATAAGTTTACTAATATATTTTACCTTTTAACCCGTCACAGTGCTGTATTTAAATGTCTATTTCTCGAGTAAACTACAGACTTGAATAAAAAATAAATTTGTACAATTAAAAACTTACCTTTATTAAAAACAAATACTTGTTCATTGTAAGGTAATCATGAAATTAAGACTTAAATGACCCTACGTCGCACATCTATTAACAAATTATTGACCTGTAATTGTCTAAGCACCCCCCGCAGTTCCTCTCCTGTCGCGGACGCCTGTGAAGAGTTCTCGTCACAGACGAAACAGCTCACCAGCGCGGCACACTGCTCTGGCGTTAGATTGTTGAACACTCCATTGAATATCAACTCCGTTAGTAGCAGCTCGTCAGCGCTATAATGAATCGTCAACTATTAACCGACGAATTAAAAATCGATTACAAATTGAAAAATGTACAATTCGGGTAGGACTTGAACCGGTATCCATTGCGTTGCGTGCTGTTGCTCTAACCAATTGAGTTACAGGGACCTCATCTTCAAATTGATTTAAAAAATATAATATTTAATTTATATAGGTCATCATGTACATGTGAAAAATATTAAGTGAGCTCTATGGGTGTGTGTCGCTTTAAATATGGACATCATTTATTACTCCCCGTTTCAGTAGTAGTAACAGGAATTTATGGTTTACGAGACAAATGGACAATGTGGTTTAGTTATTAAAAGATATTTATAGGATTTCGTTTCTCCTTCAAATTTATTAAATAGTCTAAAAAAATAGGGATAGAAATAAATAATTCAAAAGTGGCGGGAGAGTCAAATATGTACTTGTAATATTTTTTTTAATAACTAATTAATTGTAATAATAAATATAATGGAAAACAAGTAATTTATTAATTCATTAATGTAGATATATCCGATATGGTCTAGTGGCTAGGATACCTGGCTCTCACCCAGGAGGCTCGGGTTCGATTCCCGGTATCGGAATAAACTTTTTATTTTTACTACTCATTTTTTCTTTCACCCAAAATGTTGTTGCATATTTTTTTGTTTTAATTAAGACAAATTAGACATTTGGTTTATGTAAAGCGCGTTTATTTATTTAGTGACATTAGAGATATTTCGAGGGAAACAATAGATGGCGGGACGTATTTAAGCAAAAATGTATATACATACCTACTCAACTCACACGCGATCCGTCCCTTCAACTCAATGACATCCGCCATAGTGCAATATCCCATTCTTCTTAAAACACGTTTCCGCTTCTTCAGCTCGTCCATTTGTAGAATACTCTTCGCTTTCCTTAGTTCTTGTTTCGCTTGCTTCAAATCTTCATATACCTCTTGTTTCTTCTCATATGCGGCTGTTAAGGCACCTCGATTCTTATCTTTGTGTAATGGGTGAGCATATAATCTGTAAAAACAATATATATATGCTTAGTAATTGAACGAACAACCCGAGTGAGCCCAGGGTTTTAATACTAATTAAATAATTAATAAAAAATTCCACATCTCATAGCCAACTATGTTATAATGATAGCCATGTCTAATCAATTTAAAAATGTGAATAATAAATGGGTGGTAGGAAAGTCTAAATTCCGTCCGGCTCACTAAACACCGTGCACACATGACTATACCATCAAGTCTACTGGCATTTTGGTTTTAATTTGTAGATTTCCAAATATCCAAAGCCGACAGCACATATTGTTTACATGTACCACCCAGTACACCCCAGGCTCGCCTATCCCCCTCTATCATAAAAAATCAAACAAAATTTACCTTTCTTCCAATATTTTGATTTTGTCCACACATTCCTTGAACACTGGGTCGTCAATTTTCATGTCCTTTATAGGATTCAATAGAGGTGGTCCATCTGGAAATCGTTTTTTCACCTCATTGATTGTCTTGAGAACTGATTTTCTATTATCCGCTGGTCTTAAGTCTTTAGGATAGTACACCCGAAGTGAACTGATCTGATTGATTAACGTGTGTATTACTGGGACAACTTCTACATCGCCTTTCTGGAAATGAAAATAAGTTTTAAAAAGCACAGGACTTTTAGAAAAATGCCCACTTAAACTAATTTAAATGTTTGATATACAAGTATATAAGGACATATCCATAGTTCAGTTGGGCGAGAGCCCAAAAATTTAATAGGTCTGTTTATGTCTTTGTGATTTTTCTTTAACTAGAAGCATATTTTCTCATAGCACTTTGGCATAATAGCTAGAAAAGTCTATTTTGAACTTGAAATAACCATTGAATTATAGTATGTATATGTAATTAATTATTAAAGCATAAAAGAAAACAAATCTTATTTGAAATATTTTCATGTAAATAGGGATATGTAATAATTATTTATCAACCTAACCAGTTTGTTTAGAGTAAACCATATTTTACGTAGTATTAAAAATAGAGATCAAGTTAAGTCCCTCATAGGTTGTACTAGCTATTGCCTACGACGTCGTCCGCGTTCCGTTCTTGATAGTTAAGATGACTCAATAAATATGTATGAACATATTTTTCATTTCTTGAACCGTTTATGCACCGCGCGCAGTGCAAGCAACCAAAACATGGATAAATTTCCCCCTTTTTTTCCACTGTTTCTTTGCCCCTATTTTACAAAGATGCTATATAAAGCCATTCTCGATAAACGGTTATTCAACGTAAAAATATTTCTTCAATTCGAACCAGCACTTCGTGAGATTAGAATATTCAATGAAACTTTTCAGCTTTATAATATTAGTATAGATTGGTATTATTATTACACATGTATAGGTTCTCTTTATTATTGTAATTTTACTCACTTCACCAGAGGGACAAGGTACATTGACATCCACGTCATCTTCAGTCGCTTTCTTAACATGTAACAGCGTATCCACCATGATCACTGTGTCTGCTGTGAGCGGGTTTTCTTCTTTCCCCTTCTTGCCCTTACCAGTTTTATGACGGAAGTTCACTATGATGCCCCAGTCGTATTCATACTTCTCTGTTTTGATCTGAGGGAAAGATATGTTTAATTTAAATAAGAAAAACTATAAGAGGTGCAGTAAAGCGAAATTTAACCTACTTTTATTGTTACGAGAGTCTCAACGTAACGAGTCTGAAAGACTATGATATTAAAGGAAACTGACTAAATAAACAAAGAAGGGCAAAAGAGAATAACACAACCATTTGTTAAACATATATGAGAGTGGTATTGTTTGGAAATGTATAGCATGAATTGGGTAATGTTTCCTTGTTTAAGAATTAGGTTAGATCATACCTTAACAAGCCGTCCGGGCTGCAAGAATGGTTTGAGGTACTCTGGGCGTGTGATAAATGATCGAAACTGTGCACCGAGAAGGTCAAGCTGTGATCGAAGTGCACAATACGATCCTATGGAGTGTTCTTGCTCTATAGTCAATGCGTCGTATTCCTTTTGTTTGTTTTGCACCTCTGTAAAAGTAATAACAGTTATTAAAAGTTCTTAAATATAATTTCAATAAACAAAAATAACACTCACTCTCTATAATATCTGGAATAGCAGCCTGATTTTGAAATTGGAAGAAACTTCTCTCAAGCATGTATTCGGGATTAATTTCTTCAACTCGCATCAAATTCAATACCTGAAGATTATAAATAACGCATGAATCCCTAACTAATAGATAATTCTAACAAACGTGAGAACTGACGGTATCCGGCTCGAAGGATCAATGTGTTTTGATAGAAAATGTATATAAATATAATAAACTTATATAAGATATTTTTATTAGTATAAGACACTGTATTGATATGAAAATACATTACCATGTTGTAAGTTAGATGGAATGCCGAATTAATAGGATCTGCTTTTCCTTGCACCATACTCTTGACAGTGTTGGGAGCCACTTTTTGGTCTATCATTAGGATAACTATTCCCTTGTCATCGAGACCACGCCGACCTGCACGACCGGACATTTGAATGTACTCTCCTGAGGTAATCTTAAGAGAAGATAATTATTTTAATACGTCTAGAAAATAAGTAAAAAAGCTTTTTGTAAATTACTACTAATCCATTTCATAGATTAAGAAGAAAACAGACTTTCTAACGGATTCACAAATAGAAATAGAATTTTTAACTTACAAATCTAAAATCTCTGCCATCGAATTTCTGACAATTAGTAAACACAACAGTTCTTGCAGGCATGTTAAGTCCCATAGCGAATGTTTCCGTGGCAAAGAGAGCCTGAAAGGTACAAATTAAAATATAGCAACAAAAATTATTTTAAAACTATTAATCTGACTTAGGTGTGTCATGAAACGTCAAGGATTTGTCATGGGCTCTAATGTCCATATCAGACCAACCTTAATAAGTCCCAAACCAAAGAGAATCTCAATGGTTTCTTTAAGTATTGGTAGAAGACCACCATGATGGATACCAATACCACGTCTCAGAAGTGGGATCACATTTTCGACCTGGGGCAATTTTCGATCTTCTTCGGAAAGTACATCCATTGCGTTGTTGAACACTTCATCTACAAGTTTCTTTTCTTCGACTAGAAAGAAAAAATGACACAAGTTTTTTTTAATGAGCTTAAAGAATATACATCAGAAGCAGTAAAGCTTTTATAATGTGTTCTGTATTAACATATTTTTAAACAAAATGTATTTAGTCTGTGCTACTCAGTACAAATTGCTTGCAGCTCAAAAAACAATAGTACTTACTAGTATTAAAATCTAATTTTGCCATCTGCATAGCATAAAGCTCACAGTCTTTCTTACTGAAGCTGAATATAATAACCGGTGCAAAGTTCCTTTCCATGATCATTTTAACTATGTTAAAAATGTTTGTGTTATTATTTCCTCTGGGACCACCTTTACGACCCCGTTGGTCACCTTTTGCCGCTTCACCGGCGTTGCTTAGAACTGCCATTGCTGTGTTGAAGTTATCTTCTTTAAACTGACCCTGAAAAGTTAAAAGATATTTAATCCTTTTCTCACTAATCAGAACCAAAACATTTTATTAATAAATAGAAAAATAAGATGTTTCCCTGACATTTGAACCCAAAACCTCTGGTACTTTACTTAAGTAGTTAGGATAATCGTTATGAAAGCATTACATCTTTAAATTCTAATAAAACAAGAACCTTGAATTAAAGAAAGAATAATGTTACCTTCTCATCTACAACTAAATGTATACCATCGCCCCCAGCAGGGAAAATGTAATGTTGTAAAGGTGTGGGTCGGTACTCAGTGTAAACCACATGGCAAGGCTGTGAATGAAGTCGACAAACCCATTCTGCAAACTGACGGGCGTTTGGAATTGTAGCTGATAAGAATACGTAGTGGACATTGTCAGGCAGTAGAATTAGAGTTTCTGGAATAGACAATAAATAATATAAAAATCAGAACCTCCTCTTCCAAGCTAAATTTGTTTGTTAGATCTACATAGATCTAGCAATTTTAAAGAAATATACAGACCTTCCCATACTACACCCCTCTCCTTATCTCTCATGTAATGGATTTCATCAAATACAACCCATCCAACTTCACGCATGATTTCTGATCCTCTATATAACATGTTCCTTAAAATCTAAAAAAACATTTTTATTTGAGACACATTTAAGCCTAAGATTTATTTGCATTATATCTAAATAACAAAAAGCATAGATAAATATAGTTTGGTACTAAAGTAAATTTACATACTTCTTATTGCTTAGTAGTATTTATTTATTACAATCCTGCAATCATATATTGTTCTCTTTCATTATTTATATTTATAGATACTTAAAAAAAAGTTACCTCCGTTGTCATTATGAGGCACGAAGCTGTGGGATTAATTGTCACATCTCCAGTAATTAAACCAACGTCTTTGAATTCCTCTGAAAATTCTCTGTACTTCTGATTTGAGAGGGCTTTGATTGGTGTAGTATATATAACTCTCTGTTGTTTTTTTAGTGACAAAGCTATAGCATACCTGCATGAACACAATTTAACTATTACTTTTTAAATTTACCCCCTTATTAGGTGAAAGTAAACAAAAAATTTTGTTTACAGTCGTAAACATCTCTTATCTTTCTGGTCTAAGTAAATAAAATTTGTAAAAAATATAACTTACTCTGCCACCACAGTTTTTCCTGCAGAAGTGTGGGCCGACACTAAAACTGACTGTACATTATCTATGCACATAATCGCCTCCTTTTGAAATGGATCCAAAATGAAAGTATACTGTTTAGCTGGGGTTTCAGACATTGGTTGTAAAGGGGTGTACTGATGGTTGGGTGGAATTGCAACTTCATGTGTACAACCCTCATGAGTTTCAAGTGTGTGTATCACTATTCTTGAGTTCTTTATGTCTAAGCTGCAAACATATTTTATTTAGAAAATAACTTACTCATCAGAGACATAGAGCTATAAATTAAAACTTACTGAAGATCTTCTAGTAAATCTGATTCATCTTCATCAGTTTTTTGCTTTTTATTATCTTCTGGTTTAATTTCTGTGTTGGCATATTCAACTTCATCATGGGGTCGTTTCTTAGATTTGATGTCGTCTTCAGCACTGTAACAGTACCAATTTTATTTTGTGTCATTTATATGATGAAGCCAAGGATGAAGGTAGCCAATTCTAGATGTTTCAGAAGAACTCTAACGGGTTTCGGCAAAAAATTTTTTATTGAAGCATGTTGGACTTAGGAGGTAAACTCACGACTCTGATTAATTACCATAAGTTACTGCTATTGGCCTAAAGAGCCTGTCACAATTTAAGTTTAATTTAAGAAGTCAGTTTATTAAAACGAGATCAACAGCAGTTATAAAATGTTTTTTAGACAGCATGTAATGCAGGTTATATTGTGATGGTAAACTTACGATGAATTGGTCACATTTTCAGGTAGCGGTAAAAGCCCTGTCACTTCACTCGAAGGCGGTTCGTCAAAGCAGGCAAATAAATCGTTTATATCCGCCATAATATTAAAAATAAATAGGCATAATTATAAAACTTTGAAAATAATTAAAATTCTCGCTTGATTGAGAGCACAAGGACCGTCATAATATCAGACAACATAATAATACTAATGACTTACTGTCAAGTGTCAACTGTCAACATAAATATAAAAAATGTAAAAGTTATTGTATTATGCATTAAAATTAACAAAACATACTTTACAATTTTAAGAAACCACGTGGAAATAACCACAAGCTTTTTGTATAAAAATTAATATATTTTTTTAAAGCTTTTATTTAAGCTTTGTTCCACCGCGCATGTCATTAAATTCACAGTAGTATTTAATTTCAAATATATATGTCAGAAACACGCATATTTATAATAAGCTGTTATATCAGCGATTTTGAACTTATTGTTTTTGTTTGTTCGATTTTAACCGATATTATCAATTAAATTTTCTTAAAATAATGAAACCCTAAATAGTATATAGTTTTGTGTTTTTCACGAAATATATATCATTTGTAAGTTTAAGAATGTGAAAATTTGGAAAAAAGATATATCATAAATGAAAATATATTATTTGTTACTCCGACTATGTCTCGAAACATTACTTGGCCAGCTACGATTAGCAGAGAGCGAGTAAGTACAAGCTATTTCAAAAGTATTTTTAATCTTTCAGTTAACTATGAACATTAAAATATTAAAACGATTTGTTATAATTTAAGGGTGTACGGCCACTGCCTGAACAACTTAATGTATTAATAGAATTTTTAGAAAAACACCCTCAATTAGCTTGGGGGAAGTTTAGAGATGCACAGTTTGAAGATAAACGCAATTTGTGGGAGGAGATTAGTCATACCATGAACACTATGACCGGTTCTCACAAAACAACCTCATGCTGGATGAAGGTATTAGTAGTTAAGAATGGGGATATAAATTAAGGCTGCTAGAGGAAGAGTAGCCTAATAACAAATAACATTATTTTCAATAAGGAGGAAAATAAAAATACACAATGATCTTAGACGAAAATGAATGTATATTATTTGTGTAAGAATTATGTTAACAATTTTTGGGCACTGTGCACTTGTAGACTAACATCTGTAGATAATTTGATTACTTCTTTATCAAATCTGTATTAACACACTAATTTTACACTGTTTATCACAAATCTTTTTGTAATATCATCTATCAGGCTTTTAGAACAAAAAATTTTATTCTCACATACACATAAAAGAGATTTATCTAAATCTACTTTTTACAGTATTGGTGTGACAAGAGGAGAAGTGTGCTGTTAAAAAGAAAGTATATAAACCAGGGCAAAATCTCTAAACAGCTTGATGATTGTGAACAAAGAATCTTAAATTTGTATAGTTCAAGCAGTAAGTTTGATTTTTAATAAGTAAATGATAAAAGCACAGATAAAAAATATAGCATGTTATTATATCTTATTCTTCTATACCTACTTAATAATTCTAAAACTTGTGTTTCTTTTTAGAAATGAATGTGAAAAAGAAAGAAGTAAAGCAAGAGCCTAATAAAAGTAATGAATCATGTGATGATATTTTCTTTACTGATGATGCAACAGCAGAAGACAGTAGAGATTCAAGAGAGTTTGAGGAAAGAAATATCAAACTCATGGATGTAATGGTACAATTTGTTTTTTATTAATAGAAGTAAATTTAAATACTGTCTATAGTTTACGTGAGTAGTCAAATTTAAATAAAACACTTCAACAGTTTAAAACGCTATATATGCTATAATGCAAAGCATCCGAAACGTCTGGCCAAAGTTAAAAATCATTTTCAAATAAGTTTAACTAATATATAGCGTTTTAAACCGTTAAAGTGTTTTATTTAAAAGAAGTAAATTTCTGCTTATAGTACCAATACTAATCTGCTTAATTATGATCAGTGAATAAAAGTATAAATATGTTTATTTTTAAGGTATAAACATTTTTTCTCTTACAATGTTTTACTATCTGTTAACAAGTTGTCGATCCTTACCATCCACGTCGCGTTCGCTCACAGCCCTAGTACATTGCACAGGCTCCAGGTGCTTCAAATCGTTCACTGAACCGCCACTGGACCATCTGGTGCGTACGGAATGCAAATCTTCACGCCGATCTCGAGTTACCGACCCTCAGTCGGTACTTCAAGGAAACGTCCGAATGTTTCTTTAAAAAAGCCGCGACCATCCGAACCCACTGTGGCCCGGGCCGCCAATACACTTTCCCATAATACACCTGGAAAGGCCCGTAACTTCTCACCGACCCGATACGACTGAACCAAAGCCGTCGACTTACTTTTGCTATGCGATCGGCCGAACCGTCCATGCCCCAAAACCCCGGCGTAGCGAGGTCATTCCTTCCTACCGCTCACCCGTGAGCTTCCTCCAGCTCTTCTAGCTCCCACCCGCATTGCGGCGGTCCAAGCCGAGGCCGATGCCCCCCTCGGGGCACCCTTGGTCTAGCCGCAAACACGCGAGCGCTATCCGCTCGCCCAAAACGCCCGGTTAGTATTCGTGGTCTTAGGTCTAGCAATCAAAAAAAAAAAAAATGTTAACTAAGTATGTATAAAGATTTGCTTTAAACACTTAATTTTTGAATGCCAGGTAGACGCATTAGATATGCAAGCAGCTGCACTGTCCGAAATAGCAAAGGAATCAACGAGAAAGTCAAAAGCAATATCCACAATTGCAGAGGCATCACATAAACAGGTAAATAATAGAATAGACACAGAAAGGTTGAATGGCTGAGGAAAAAATAGCATTCTACACTTTGCTATAATGTTCCAGGTCAGAGATAAACATATACATAATAGTTCATTTATTGTTTCTCCGTTGTTATAATCACGTAAAATATAGATGAAATGATAAAATCTCATGAAAAATAAATTAAAACATAATTATTACATACTAGTTTGCATAAGTTTTGCAAAATTAAACAATTTTTTTTTTAGTACTAATATTATAAATGCGAAAGTAACTTTGTCTGTCTGTCCGGCTTCAACTCCGAAACTAAACTGAGCTGAACTGATTTAAATGAAATTTGTTACACAGAAATTTTTGAGCTTGAGACATAGGCTACTTAATGCCAAATAAGGGTTGATAGGGGATGAAAGTTTGTATGGAAACTCGTGGTATTTGAATCCAGAACAATGAAACTTTTTTCTTGGGCTTTTTGGGAATAGGACTGGGAGTGAGTGTAGAAGTGCGAGTTACAGTAGGAGTGATGTGAGGTGAGACTGTTGCGGCTAAATAGTATTTACAACATAAATTCACTGCCTTAAATGTGGCCTTACTTAAATTAATAAACAAGCCTTAATAATTAAAAATTCTGCCCCAAGTCACTATTCCACGCGGATGAAGTCGCGGGCGCATCTAGTTATTAAATTATATTTGTGTCTTAAATTTCCATTTCAACTATACATTGATAAAATATTTTTTATAGGCCTGTTCTATTGACAATTTATCATCTGCATTTAAAGATATCAGTCAATCCATGGATCGAATGAAAGACGCTTTGAAGAGTATAGATTATACAGTCAAGAAGTGCTTCCTACCAAGTAACTTGCAATCTACGGAAAGTGCTACAATTTTCTATATAGAAGAATAAGTAGCTTAAAGGATATTTAATTAAGGATTTTTCTGATTTTTAAAACTATTTTCGTGTTTGTAAATTTCGTAAACGAAACCTAAAACAACGAAAAAATAAAAAAAAAGGATTTCTGTTTAATAGTATTGAAAATATAGTTAAAAAAAATTGACTGAAACCATTTATAATATTAATTGTTCTACGTAAAATAAATATTTAGGATTAAGTTTTTCCTTTAAAACTTGTAAAATATGTACATTTTTATATAACCTATAATTTAAAAGTAAGTATTTTGTATATTTTTTTAATAAATTGTTTAAACTAAATAACATTGTTTCTATGATATTGTTAGGACAATTGTTATAAATCAAATTTGAGTATTTTGATACAAATAAAACAATTTAATAACATTTTAATTTTACTAATAAATCAATGTCCTTAAGTTATAGTGTATTTAATTATAAGTGGCTATTAAAAAGGACCGCTATTGCGGATGAAATGTTACCAAGCATGAGAAGACCGTGGGTTCGAATACTTGGCATTTTATCTGCTTAGCCAGAGCACAGTGGGTTCGTAAAATTAATCGGTGACAAGAGTATAGTGATGTGTTTGTGTGGAGATTATGTACTTTTATATATATATATGAATATTTTAGACAGCAACCCCATCTGTTGAGCGTTTTATGCAAAACTGAAACAACGATAGTTGAGTACATAGCTTTAGTTCTCTGGAGTGGAACCGACAAGATTGTAAGGCTTTAACTAATCGTCTATAATGTTAATACAATGTCAGTAAATTCTAAATATTTTAAAACTACCACAGGGCAACAAGTATTGTTCGGTTCGGTTATTGATTAAACTTCGATTCCCGTATTAATATCGTTCAATGCGAGATAGTGATAACGCTTATCTTATCAAGGCTTATCACATATACCAGTGTTCTACTTCCACAAATAACCGCGTCAGACCTGACGCCAGTGCAATTTGAGCGCACAATACATTTATAATGCAATATTCGCACGCGCTGTCGGATAATGTGGCTGTTTTTATTTTTATTGGGAATTGTATTCGATAGTACTTATTGTGTTTTGTGCCCGAAACAGTGCGATTGTGATACGGAGAATGGCCTGAACAGAGCAATTTGTGTCGATCAAAATATTGTGTCCGTAGCGGTGGGTGTGCCCAAGGAGGTGCAAGTGTACAGTTTGAGTAGGAACGTTTTAAGCGAGTTGGATAATTTTTGTTTTAAGGTGAGTCATTACAAAAGCTAGAGAAAAATCAACAAAGTTTAAGATTATGTTTGTCAAAATATTTAAATACATTTTGGTGGTCTTTCGGTGATGTTGCTCTTTTGAATACTCTGTAGAATCACGACGAACGGACAGACAAACATTTTTTTTTACGAATCTACATAATTGTTATGGTTTTATAGAGAACAAAGTATATATTTTTTATTTTTGCATAAGATGTCAGTAGTTAATTCTGAACTTGAATATTTCTACTTGTTATTGGACATGGTGGCACTTTATAAATTAAACATGCTCGAAACGCTGTGGAGGCTGGTTCAAGTCCTGTCCGTGTCGTGAATTTTTTGAATTTATAATCAATTTTATAATTCAAGGTCTGTTTTTTTATGTAGTGGAATTTATTTCAAGTGTTCAACAATTTGTTGTTCCCGGTTTACCCAGGATCGAACTTAGGGCTTAACTATGGAACTAAGCTATGCGACTATATTCAATAATGTCTATTGTTCATTGTTAGTTGTCTAGCGTTCTTTGTTTGTAAATATTGACCTTATCAGCTTGCATACTAATTGCTGCATACATCGATGATACTACATAAGAAGCAAATCATTGGTCTCTTAGGTATATTGTATATACATTCGATTGCATATCACGATGGTTTGAATTGACCAAAATTGCTTTTATCGTCAGTTTTGAAAGGTGTTAAAATCTATTTACAAAAACAATAACATGGACGGGACCTGTATCGGAAACCATAGAGTTCGGTGCTGCTTTACCCTACCTACTGTGTTTCTAAGTGCCTAAACACTTCTAAATACTGTCTTAAACGTAGGTAACATAATTTTTAAATGAGTTTAACAAATATATTTCGCGGTTTAAACCGTTAAAGTTTTATTTAAATCTTAACACTTCTATATCATAGATTACGATGCAATGGGAGGAAATTACTGTATATAAATATCTGTAGATATATTTACCGCTGACAATTTAAAGTTAATTTAGACACAATTCTTAAATTACCGTGATTGTGGTAGTATAGGGTATGGTTCTGTACGTAAAACAATACTTAATTTTCAGGAGATCGGTTATAGATCGATACAAGTATTGGACTTATCATACAACCAGATATTTTGGATCGGTTTGCACGCGTTCTCAGGCTTGGATCAGCTGATTGATTTGAACCTGAGCAACAATAGGCTGAGGTATATCCCTTCAGATGTCTTCTGGTACACTCCTCAGCTGGACATCCTCGACTTATCGTCGAATGTATTCGAGACACTAAAAAATGAACCTTTTATTATGCACAATAAGTTACAAGTAAGTGACGTCAGTAGTACGTAAGTTTTACTTGACAGTAAGATCGATTGAATTATGTTGATGTGTGTTTTTTTTGACGAATCTAAATATTTTTTAAAATTTTAAAGAAAATAAAGTATATATATATATATTTCTAATACTACTTAATCTATTTTTAAGAAAAATAACCACGCACTGTTGAAATATCCTATATCGAATGTTACGACAAATTCGCACACAAGTTAAATTATGTTGGCTTTCTTAAATGATATTTTAGTGCATCAAAGTAAATCAAACCCTTTATGATCTGTTAGTGGTCGCGAAACATTTTAGTCAGGTCCAGTAACTCTACAATTTGACCGTCTTTCTTTAGATACGTATAATGTGTTGATAAATGCTTATTAGAAAATTAATGCTAGGCTACTATTTGCAGGTCCTAAACCTTAACAACTGCCGGATAAAGTTTTTGCCAGATAGATTATTCTCTCGTCTACCTAATTTGAGAAAGCTGGATTTAAGCGAAAATTACATGGTCACACTCAGCTTAGACGTGCTACGACCGTTAAGAAAACTCACTAGACTCGAATTGAGAAACGATTACTGGCAATGCAACGCAAACTTCATAGCGACGGAGACCTGGATTGTAACACGTGGTATCGCATATGAGAAGAAATGCAGGACGCACCCGAAAATGTCCGAAAAGATGATATCGCTAGTCCGCGACCGGAAACCGCTTGATATAGACGATATATGGAATATAACGGCCAACAACGCCACAGATAAAGGCAATGATACAAAACCGTTGACGCCGTTTCAGAAATTCGATAGAAATTTCTCCGCGCTACAAGCTTTCGTAATCGGTCTAGAATTGGGTTTGGCGATCGGTATCGTCGCTACGTATATGTGGTTGAGGCGAGTCTGTGCTTTTTCGTGCCGTCGACCACAGATAAGGGAGGGGCGTAGAGTTCGTCGCGAGGGGGATATGAGGAATCGATTATTGTGGAACGCAATTAATACGGATGTGGAGACTCCGCCGATATATAGGAGGCAAGTTCCTGTGCCAAGCGCGCCGTTCCGCACGCAACCACGTCAGGTTCCTACCCCGGAGCGCGCCGAAACTCCACCCCCTCCTTACCAGGAGTGTCGTCTTAATGGATAGCTTTCTTATGAATAGTTTTAGGTTAAATTAACAGTTAAACAAATACATAACCTTTTACTTAAGAATAATTAAAAACAGCTTATCCAAATTTATCCATAGTGCAAAGGTTTGTTTTGAAGCAAAACGATTGAGTGAATTGATTTTACATTATTCTAAATTACTTTTCATGAACTAATGTCACATGGCATCTTAATACAGGTCGCGTTATTGATTATATTGTTTCTATTTCTGGAAATTACAAGATGTATTGGACTGATTGTAACAGATTGTATACGACACATATTTTAAGACTGCATATATTAAGTATAAACACATATAATATATATTAAATTTGTAATAAAAAGCAAAATGTATGATATAATCTTTTATTCATAAATACCATTATCACATTTCATCTAACAAAGAAATCATATAATCTGTTAAAATAATTAAAAATAATATTTTATACTAAATCAGACTCGTACATAGAATTTAATATAAATTCTTAATAACAGAAAATTTGGGTAACTACGATTAAAATTTTGTACACAAACACCGGCTTTTGTACAAAAACTACAAGTCATTAAAAAATTATATGAAAAATAATTCATAAAAATCCATCCATTGTATAACGTATTAAATATTTACTATTTTAAAAGGAATGTACACATTGTATCAAACGGTTTCACTTATTAAATTACCTAAAAGCATATTTGTATACACACGCCTAAGATGTAGGAACGTAAAGTTAAAATGCGCGTGTTTTATAAAAATGCACCTTATAACTAAGAGGCGAGAGTCAAAAATAAAAAAAAAAACTATTTTCATCACATAATCATAGACAACAGACTAATTAATAAATTTCAAGAGATTAAAAAAAACATACGTAAATCGTTACAAAAGACATTTTAATAGAACTTCATATCATGCTAAGTTCAAAAAATAAACAATAGAGACGCAACTTGTGAACGTCAGAACGTGCTCTCGCGTCTCTTTTCGCGAAATATCGTAAAAGCTCCGCAAAAAAACATCTCAAATACAAAAATTTATACTATATTTTGTTCATGATTATATAAAAGTTATATATTATTTACATGACTGATCATCTAAACGATTCGTCATTAGTCTAAACCAGCTTGTCTTTGAAGGATTCGCAATATCGCACTAATTGATAGTAAATACAAGGTTGGAAGTCCGTAAACCATATTTTGTACACGATCCTAATCTAACGGCAGGCACATCTAGGCTTAATACACACTAACAATATAATACTAACGTGAGATTACTAGGTACATGCTGTTTATGACATTTCTTTACGCTTATGATTATGGCAACTTTTGTCTACTGTAATGTAGCTGGGAGATTCGGGAAGGATTATTGTACAAGTAAATTGCAGATTAAAAAGTTTTATCTGTCAGTGTCAGAAATAATGTCAATCTTCAGATGAATCTATGGTCTCTTGCCAATCGACGTCATACAAAACATATACGACAGCACTAATTGACACTTATAAGATACATAGCACTCCTTGGTGTCTGGTGGAAACATTAATGTATTGAAATTGGTTTAAAGATAGGCCACGTCATCAAGTCCATCGACGCAGAAACACATCGCCACACGACGTGCGACCCCATACACCCAGAGCGCCCTACCTTGGCACGCGGTAGAGGGCGCTAGTGTCGGCCACTGTCAGACGGTGACGTCATCATCTAGGGCGATCTGGCTGATGTTGACGTAGTCCGGGTGGTGTGAGAACACGTCCACGAGCTTGCTGAACGTAGGTCTGTGGTCGGGAGTGTAAGCCCAACAGTCCAGCATCACTTGGTAGATCTCATCTGGACAGTTCTCCGGCCGGGAGAGGCGCTCGCCGCTTTCGACTAATTGGATGACCTTTGAATAGAAAACTCATTTTTTAACCTTCGAAACCACTTTGTTTTTGCCTTTATTGAAAAGTAGTTCGTAATTATTAACTAATAACTACACGTCAACGTTAGTTGTCAACGCGAACAAAATTAACGGTTTCATCATCTGTGGAACGTAGTTCGTGACGTCATTTAATATCCAGATTCTCAGAACAAATGTTTGAGAAAAATTATAAATGTTGGACCTGATGGCAAGGCGAATCCACGACCCATTGATTATTAGCTATGGCTATCATTACACAAATGAAAGCCGTCAAATTTTTACAAAAATGTTGTATATAAGAAAATGTATATATATTATATAGTAAATATTCTACCAGGTGCGATTATGAATGAAATCAAAGTGTGTATCTGTAATTTAATTAATAAAATAAATGTTTCTCAGCCATATAGCATTTCAATTTACTTGTAACAATAAAATCAAATTCCTACCTCAGTTCCTCTCATGTCTCCGTACGGCTGGCTTCCATAAGAGAACATCTCCCATAGAGTGACGCCATAACTCCAAACGTCGCTAGCATGGCTGAAGGTGCCGTAGTTGTAAGACTCCGGCGCATACCACTTAATCGGCCACTTGCCACCGCGGCTCGCTTTGTAGTACGAACTGTCCGCGGACAGTGCTCGTGACAGACCGAAGTCGCTTATCTTAGCTTGGTGCCTGAAAGGTAAAATTATTTCTGAAATATATATTTATAAAAAAAATGTCGAATGTTACATACAAAACACTATTATTAATAGATAACTCCTACTTAATACTTATATTTATGATGATAAATAACTTTATGTATTGTTTTTAATTAAAACAGAAATTATTATTATATTATTCATTGCTTCACCAAATATCTCTACTTTTAACGGTTTAAAACGCGAATATTAACTTATTATAACTAGGGCCCGTCATTTCTAGTGCATTTTAAACCGTTAAAAGGGTTTTATTTAAATGTGTTCTACTCGCGTAAACTACAGAAAATACTTAATATCTTTACTAATCTTTTGGTTAGTAAAGAGACACAGTTATAGTGTATAGAAGTACAAGGACACATATACTGGTATATATATTTTCGATAGAGTCCTAAAGTTTACCTGCTAGCAAGCAATATGTTCCTAGCAGCAAGGTCTCTGTGTACGAAGCGCCGTCGTTCCAGATACCTCATACCCGCGGCCACCTGACACGCCCACAGCCTCAACTCATACCCAGGGGAGACTTTATCCGGATGACGAATCAGGTACTCTAGTAGCGAGCCGAGGGGAACCAACTCTTGGACCATAGCTAACGGTGGACCCTAGAGTAAAGTATTTATTGTTTATGAATAGAAGAATATTTGCTTATAACCCAGTCAAATTACAGTTTCAATGTTACAATAATTCCCAAAGAGTTATAAGTTGGAGTTGGTTCAGAATAGTATTACGAATCTCGATAATATTGTCGCTGCAAAAACCACTGTTTAGCTGAAAAACACGAAAACCTACTTTTGCAAACTATCACCATCAGTAAAAAAATCGCATGGACCCTCGTGGGGACTTTTCACACTTTATTTGAACATTGATATAAATTTTATTTTATTTTATTTTAAGGATTAATTTGGTATTAATGGCATGGAAAACTATAGTAGTGTTTAAGCCAAAGTATTTTTTTAAATATTAATATGGATATAGAGTATAGACTACACTAACCACAGATACTCCAATGAGCCTCACGATACATCGATGTCTTAGAGCCATCATGAGCTTAGCTTCAGCTAGAAACTCTCGCTTGTTGGAATCCGTATGCTGTAGATGTAAAGTCTTGACTGCGACCTGCTGTGGTGGGGTATCGGTGGGTGTATACACAGCTCGTAGGACAGAACCAAACTCTCCTTCCCCTAATACTGCCCCAAGTGTCAACTCCGTGAATGGTATGAATTCTGGAAAATTGATATTAGTTTTACTATACAATAATTGTTATTTTCTTTGTTCCTTATTGTAATAATTTAACACATACGGCAATATTACAAAAAACCTTAAACCGGCAGTGTGGTGTCTTGGTTTAACTCTTAAATCATGTTCTGAAGTAGTACTATCGTTAGTGCAATACAAACATTAAACTTCGTTTTGCAATAAGGTAATAAGTAGGGTTTAAACCAGGTTTGAGGGTTAGTCTTCGTTATGTAAAAGAGTGTAAGCATTATCTTATAAATACATTAGATGAAAAATAACATTTCATTTACAACTCTCATTTCACTTAATTTATATACCTTTAAATAAGACATTAACTTTAGGCTGCTGTAAAGCATGCCAAACATTGGGCTATAGTTAAAATAATTTTCAAGTTTAACTAATGTACACCACGTTTTAAAGCGTTAAAGTGTTTTATTTAAATGTGTACTATTCAAGTAAACTAAATACAGTTATTACCTTGTAAAGTAGATAATTGTCCATCCGAATTTATCGATATCTCGTTATAGTTTTCAGCTAACGCCGTAACGGCGCTATTGTTCACAGGTACCTTGTACGTATCTGCGTCTAGATCTTCGTTGTTATTCAAGGAATCGCAATTGAAGTCAGATGAGAAGGAAAGATTTCTCGTCAATAACTCAAAGGCGTTGTTGTTTGGAGATGTTGGTTTTTTGTCGTTCAAAATGTCATTTTTAACTAACGACAACGATTGGTTGGAGTTTACGCGGCTCGGCAAATGTTTTTTTGTACGCGGCATCGTCGAAAACTGAAAGGAAATATCGTGATTAGGTAATCAACTAAAAAAAATTGATTCAAATTTAAATCGCATGACTGTTTCGGTCCAATAATTTACGAATTATATTTGACTAAACAAAAAAGATTTTAAGAATAGTATAATTGTTTAAGTTTGATAAACATCCAAGACACATAGTATATATTTACAGTTGGCCAGAAGACTGTAAATATAATCGACCTATAATGCCCTACGGACTCCCAATCTGGTTCAATCTGGTTTACTCAAGCCAGATTGCACTTTTTAAAGCCATGTATCTTAGAATTTTGACTATTATACAGATAAGTTGAGCAGTACCTCTGGTAGTGGTGGTTTCGGTTTAGGCGGGACAGGGATGCTCAATTTGGTTGGAAGCCCATCTACTACACTACTGTAGTGCTCTATTAGCCGCTCTAACGATTCTAGGTACGGTCCATTGTCGATAAACAGCCATTCGTTCTGAAATAAATTAAATTTATGCAATAATAGGTGATATCGAATCAGTTTTGAAAGAGAAAATAAAGTTATCTTAAGCAGTGTTTAAATTCTATAATATAAAAAAGTTTAAAATCTGCAACGGTAGGTCATAGTTAGAAATAAAGTAACAAATGTATCTCACGGTTTAAACCGATAGTGTTTAGTAAAATAAAAAAATATATACTTGTCCTTAATTACGCAATATTCATCTCTTTTATATACATATATTGATAAAACTTTATTAGAACAATTTTAACAGTCGAAAATTCGAAATATATTAGTTAACAGGATTATACTATATTCCGCGTTTTAAAATGTTAAAAATGTTTTATTTAAATGTACTTATTACGAAAACTAAACGCAATACTTAATAAACCTTATTTTTTTCTTACCTCTTTCCTAATGATAAAGTGGAATGAAGTGTTTTCACTCAGCATCGTAAGAACGTAAGCACCAGTATGTCTCTCGCTATATCTTACAAGGTAGACACCGTTCGTCGGCGCATCTCTTAGGCCGTGCTGTTTGCAGTACTCCTCCAGGGTTTGAACAGCCTCCTCGCGATTCAATGTTCCGTGGTACCATTGGGTCTTCGATGTGTTTGGGGTTTCTGCTTTATAGTTTTCTGTAATTTTTAAAATAACGATTATGTCATATATATAATATGTGTAGTATCAAAAAAATGCATGGAAGATCTTTACTTTCTAGGTATTTTGGGAACTTACTGAGCAATTGGTAGCACTCGGTGTGACCATAATGTTTAGCTAATTGAGCTGGTGTTTCTTGAGCTAGCGTTCGTGGGTGTGCCGGCGCCTTTAGTTTTAATAATACCTGTAAAAATAAAAGCATTCAAACACAATAACAATGCAATCCGGCTCAAAGGACCAAAATCATTTTTTATTTGTAATAAGTTTTTGTCTATAGATTTGATATAAGTGAAGTATACAGGCAACGTTACCTTTACACATTCAATATGTCCTCTCTGAGCCGCGTCGTGAAGCGGCACTTTGCCCGTAGGTGCGTGTCGCATCTGATAATTTGCATTTCCACATGTTATAAGCAATTCCGTTGTACTGGGCAAGTTATTCTGGCAAGTGTACTGAAGAGGAAATAAATTCTAGTAAGTTATGAGCAATTATATGGTGTTATGTGAGATGAAAAAGTAGCTATGCCAGCGACTTCGTCCGCGTGTAATTACTTGGACATCATTTTATTTATTTTTTGCAAACAACTTCCTCAGCATTATACATTATATCTGTTACCTCTGTTAATTACTCACGATGTCGCCCGTGTTCTGTCATTCTTGCTAGTTAGTCTTAAAAGACTTAAAGAGGCATCATTAATATATATTTTTGATACCCAAACGTTCGAGCACACGCGATGGGAACTTTCAAAAGAATAATTTTCCCCGTTTATTCTATATTTCCAACTATTTCTTCGTTCCTATTGGACGCATCCAATATTATGTTAGCCAGCATTGATGTGTTATAGCCCAAAAGCCATCCCCGATAAATATTCTTCAACTCGAACCAGTAGTTTCTGCGATTAGCGAGTTCAAACAAAGAAACAATCCAATTTCATTAACAAATCCAAGTTAATTCCTACCAATACTTAAATTACTTAATAATAAGAAATACTTACATGGAGCGGGGTGAACCCGAACGAATCCCGAACATTGACAGTGGCGCCGCTCTCTATGAGTTTACTGAGTATTTTGTCTCTGCCCGCCCTCGCAGCTATGTGGACCGCTGTCTGTCCGTCTTGATTCTTGGCATCGCGACTGCGATATCCGCTCTCCAATAATTTTGAAACCACATTGAATTCACCCGCTTCTGTCGCTCTGTTTAAACAAGTATAGTTTAGAGTTAAAATATTGTTCTATGACAGAGGACAATGGTGTTCAATGCCCCAGCAATATCTATATCTAACCCGTTGGTGCAATGTATGGTGAATAAATGGTCGTGGGTTCGAACCCTTCTGGATCCAACGTGTTCCTAATGACCTTTTTTCTGAGACTTCGTCTGGAAATCTGGATATCCATTAAATGGATTTCCAGAGGTAGTAAAATCGTAATTCATTCGTCCAGTGAAGTCTTCCGCGTTGCAGTTTCAGTCTGTCGGTCTCAGAATGTCCAAAGCCACAGATCGACAGTCGTAATCTTTTATTTTTAATTAATAGAAAGTAAATGAAACTAATTTATGTATATAATTTACGTTTCATTAATGACGGTATAAATATGTACAAATTGGTCATGTCTTGAGAATGTCATCATGGCAACAGTTTGGCGATACATCTGTTTGACTATGAATCAATGTTTACATTGACTCACAGTTGAATACAGATAGTTTTTGTTTGTAAATCTCATTAGTAGTTAAATATGTTAATGTATGAATGACGCTATTCAACAAAAAATACAATACACTTTAAGAATAATTTAGGAGACTTAAAGTCCAAAATAATAATTTACTAGTGATGTAAAATAAATAAACAAAAGCAATCTGAAACTGTGAAAGATTAAAAAGATTTTTTGTATATACCAGTTTTAATATTAAAAATTTGTTGTATGTATAATATATCAGATATATAGATATAAAGATTATTGTAATGCAATAAGAAAGTTGTAAGTATCCATTAGTTTTATATTATATTATACACTGCAAAACTTCGCTACACTTCGGTTTGTTTGTGAAAAAAATATACTTTTATCATATAGAAACTTGGTGGCATCTAAACTGCCTTAAATTTAAGTAATTTTTCCAATTTAATACTGTCTATAGTTCACGCGAGTAGTACACATTTAAATAAAACACTGTAACGGTTTAAAACGCGATGAAACGTCGGACCGAAGTTACAAATCATTTTCAAATAATTTTAACTTTAATATATCGCGCTTACGTTAAAGTGCTTTATTTAAATATTTCAAATGTCAAATGGGTAAAGTATAAATTGCGAATTTTTAAAGAGACTATAGGTTTGTTCTAATGTCGCTGGAATAATTACAAGCGTCCTGAATACTAAAAAGCACTTAAGCCACTGTGACCTTTACGCGAAATCTGTTTCAAGGACAATATCGTAATTAGGAAAACAACTGCATTGTGCTAGTTAGAAGAAATTGTATTTCACTACTTGAATAATCAATTTTAATATTCATGAAGAGAAATGTTATTATGGAATAATAATCGACTAAAATGCCGTTATCAAAGAAAGAATAGATACCTACTGGTCTTGAAATATTAAAAAAAAAAAAAAAAAACCGATTGAAATCTAAAAGTTCAAAAAGGAAGTTTCGATTGGGCAGGACACAAAAGCAGGGTGGATGTAAACAATAACATTCGTCAGAAATACGGAAATATGTTGACCGGACCGAAAATTGAATTTTACTTTATGATACAACTAGCTGTGCCAGCGACTTTGTCCGCAACCATCGTTATTTTGGGCATCCAAATTAGGTTTGCAAACCCGTCATCTTTATAAACTTAAGCTGTTAGCCACGACGTCGATCGCGTCCCTTCACGTCGTTATTGCAAGCTAATCTTAAAAGATAGGCATATAGCGTCCCTTTTTAGATCATTTAAAGAAGAATAATTCTTTCATACATATTTTTTAGTTATCTTGAACCGTTTTCGCAGCGTACGCAACTGAAACCAAGAGAGAAAAATTTCCCCCGTTTCTGTTCACATTTCTCGCTGCATCTTCGCTTCTATTAGTCACAGCGCAATATATTACGGCCTATAGCCTTCCTCAATAAATGTTCTAACCAACACAAAAATAATTTTTCAATTCGAATCGGTAGTTCCTGAGATCCAAACAAACAAACAAACTCTTCAGCTTTACATATTAGTATAGATAAGCACACGAGAAATTTACCTTTGAATAACTTAGTATATTGGTGACACCTGGACTAGTGGTACTGGTCAACCTACGGAACTTTCGAATACGTTCATAGTAGAATGATACTAAATCTATACTATATAGGGTTCGTTAATATAAAACGATATGGCTTATTAACGGGTTGCGAGTTTAACCCCCACCGGGTCCGTTGTGCTTTTAATAAATTTATATTTTTTTACATCAGCTCTCCAGATATTAAACGGGTGGTAGGACATCGCTTTTAGGTAAAATTTTATATGGCTGAAGTATTCCACCTTCATGAAGTGAAGGGCCGAGTGGCATCTTTGGGAGAGGCCTACTCCAGCAGTGGACCCAAAGGGCTTATAATGATGATGAAGTGAACTCCATGCTTGACTTGCCCTCGTCTATGATAAAAAATATACAATATTTATAGACTCTACTAACACGTAGCCGCGTAAGTGCTATCGCTGTTATCGCGGCTGTTAATCAAATAATTAGCGGGTTCAACCAATATATGTATAAATATAATCACCACAGTAAATATACCCTCATAAAGCGTACGCACCCGCATATGACCATAAAGCAGTGCCGTGTTCTAGCAGCGCCGATAGGGTTAGCACAATATGTAAAATACCGGCGACCCACAAATGTTCTAAAGGGTTAACATGACAATTTGCTGCATATTGAGAGCCCTTGCCGTAATAGGATCAAAGTGGAGAGCCAGTGATAAATGTCGGCTATTTGTGAGCATGAGTGTCCTTCTCTCAATATTTATTGTATGAGCATACTGCGCTGAGCAGGAAATCAACAATAAACTTGTCACTGTTTACAGTATGCGGTTGCAGGCAAAAATGCCGGGTCGATAACCTTCTAGGTATCAACATGGTAATCTGAAACTCGATATGCTTATACAATAAATAATTATATCACAAATAAGCGGAGAACCACGTATCGAGTACGACAAAGTAGATTTGCAAAATGGCCGCGAAATATTAAATGGCCGATATTGAAAACTATAATTTTCTTTTCTAAAACTGAATTTTATCATATTATAATAATTTAATTAACTTTAGTTTACGTGAGTGGTACAATCTAAATAAATAACAATTAACGGTTTAGAACTCAGAATATATTACCACAACTACCTTATGATTTGTTAAATTAATTAACTGACTTTCGTAAGATAGTAGTATAAAGTGTTCAATACACATATACACTGAGTTTTTATCAAATTAATTTGAACTTAGGTCCTCATGGATTTCTGAGTAAACAGACAAACACAAGGTCTTCTGTATAAATGAATAGAATAGGTATATATCTGACATAGGTAGACATGTTTGATATACACGTATAATCAAGTAACTAAACTTTTTATAAAAAGTTCATGTCCAGTATCACTTAAGACCATAGACATTAAGTGTAAGAAAATTAAGGGCAATATACGCGGAGCACTCCTTAATAGAACTTCCCTCTTCTCATTTGAACACACTTTTTATTGGCCAAAAAGCCCATTATAAAAATTTATCACAAAATATTCTAAATGAAATTGATCTACTTGTATGAGAGAAATAACAACAAATTATAACTTCCAAGCTGTATACATACATAATGCGATGGACATGCAGTTTACAAACAAAATTGATAAGTAAATGTGGGCTGACATATCAATCAATAAACAATACAGATTATGAGAACTAATTTGTATGGTTTCTTTGTGCGATGTTTCTAAAACATGATTCATTTAAGGCCGGTGTTGATTGTCAGTATGTGATTTGAATTGATTATTTCGCGCATGGCCAGATGGTTATTGCTTATATTCTTTTATTTATTATCATTATACTACTTTTCTGAGGGGGGCACAAATTCGTGACCTGTCTGAAAAGTCAACAGTAACTGACCATTCCCCTGTGTGGAGGAAATTCAATTTAGATTACATGAATAGTAAAAGTTTTTATTTTCTCGATTTGAAGTCACAATTTTAAAAAAGGTTTTAAAAAGGAAATTTATTTAATGATGCTAAATATATTTCCAAGTATAATGTAATGAGACAGAAGGTTTACGAGCCATTCTTGACTCTCCTATTAATTATGTGTACACGCAACAGTAGAATAGGATATAAAAAAAGGAAAAGATTAACTAACCTATGCAAAAGGTTTGTAGTTCCCTGCGTTCTAGACTCATGAGGTGGAGCTTGACCCTTGCAAACCACTGAGAGTCGTGTCACTAGGCCATTGGAGTCGCCCCGATAGTGTTGAATCAATGTGTCCAGTCCATGCACAGTGGTGTGCTCCTCGATTGAGAAAAAAGCATCCTCACCGTGCCTTCTGATTTGATAATGTACAACTTCACCCTGAAAAGATCATAAAATATAATATTGCTTTTAAGTGTTGGTCTTAAGAACTAGTCTTAGAATACTATGAGTTTGAGATTAGAAGCCATTTCCCAACTATTTTATACTTTTACTATTGGCACTTAAGTAAATAGGCACACCATTATAGAATGGTAGAGCATATTTACTTTAGTCAGACTAGTCTTACTGGGTATTTTAGTATATAACTTAAATATATATACAATATAAACAAATATATGTAATTAACAACCCTAAATAAAACATGAAACCTAACACTTGTTTTGGTGATTTTAATTATAAAAATCACTAACCTGGTGCAAAACAGATAAAACGTAGTCGCCTGGAGATGTATTGCTCTCACGAACCAAGAATACACCATCTTCTCCTTCTAAAAATCATAATCAAACGTTTAGAAACTCCGTGTTATACGGCTGCACTGTTTAACTTTAAAAAAGATATAGATACGCACCTTCTTTGAGAAGTTTTTCAGCCGTCTCCCGAGATATTTTTCCATGAAACCAGTTTACGTCCTCCCTGTTCATCCTCAATAAAAACGAATTTGTCTGAAATTTATGTTTTCTTTATGTTTGTTATACACAGCTGATACACGCAGTATACATTAAAAACACGGTTTACAACTAATTCACAAGTACAAATAGTAGCTTTTTCTCAAATCACTATTCATTTAGGTCTAATGAGCTTTATAAAATTTACTGGATTATATTTTAATCGACTTTTCCTTCAACAACAGCGATACACTTTACATTTTACAAATTCTATTTCTTTCTAACCTATTAAATTCTTGTTTGACAATACGACCTGCGTGTGTATTAATGAATCGAGTCTACTATCCCTGTCGCTCTAGAGAATATCGAATTGAACAAGAAAGAGATGGACAGTGAGGGCAACATGTTTTACGTTTTAGCGTATAATATGTTTTGTAAACGTCAAATGTCAAGAACACACAGTAGTCAAATAAGAACCTAATTATTATTTTATATGAAAATCTTAAAGTAATCCTAGTCATAAATACATTGAAAAACGTCATTTTTATTATTTACGAATAATATATAGCGAACTTACCTTTAATAATATAAATGACGTCATGGTTGTTATCATGATATCCAACTTGGGAAATGCACGAAAATATTATTGACGAATTGTCCTCTATTTACTTTTCCTTCTCTTTTTTGCTGTCATCATTTTTTACGATATTAGAAATCACTTTGATATTAAAAAAGATAATTCTTATAGCGGTGTGCGTCTAGCGAGCAACCGGCAGACAGGCGCGGTATCCCCAACTCTGCCTTCCAGCGAATGACTCATGGCAAGGTCAATTCCGAGAAATGAATCACCAGTATAGTCGGTTCAGTTCAGCAATGCCATAAGTAATCGCATTCTCTGGCGACTATACATCGTTAATTAATAGTTTTGTAAATAAAAGCTGTTCCACCAATAACACAATTTTAAGGTATCGCGCAAGACTTGAATTTTTAGGTATTTAAATAATACAATGGTTTAAACTGGAAAATACCTTGTTTAAATTTATATTTCCCCCGTGACTACGACTAGATAAAAATAAATAACATTAACCTATATATATTTAAATAAAACATTTTCAGACCATTAAAAGTTTTTATTTAAATATACTACTAGCGTAGACTATATGAAGTATTTATCTTGGCATTTATTTTAATACTTCGCAAAAATGAACTTTTATTGAGTCAATAGAGTATTTATTTAAATATATTATAATAGTTTTTAGATAGTGTAACCATTCATTATCTACACCCGTAATCTAGAACCAGATATATATATATATATATATATATATATATATATAATTTGAACGTTTGTTTCTTTTTAACATATGGTTATCTTCCGTTATAGCGTAAAATAGTACGAGCATTCTAGCGTCTATCATAGATAATGATTTCAAAGTTGTCAAACATGTCCACATCTTGCAATATTTATAACCAAGACTTCTAAGTAACTGTGAGTAATCGTTCATAGAGCGAAACTTTTCTGTATTCAGTACAAAAATGCGGCCGTTGTGACACAAATTCTTCGATTGAACGTTTCAACAGATACCTATTTAGAAAGTGTTAGCTGTAAAAGTACTGGCGGTTGTCTAACAAGATCGGGTAAAACCAGTCCTAGGTTTGTTTACCTCGCGAAGGTAATGTGTTTATTTACTTTCATTATTCGTCTCCAACCTGTCGTATCATAGAAAATTCTAGAGCCTTCTATGGGGACTAGGTCGGAAGCGAGCTCAAGCTGAATATTCAATAGATAGATTATATGGGTTATTTAGTATTAAATTAGACGCTATGGTTGAAACAACATGTTTTTTTTTATGATAGAGGAGGACAGGCAAGCATCAACCTATTTTGGCTTTGGATATTCGAAATATTTTCGTTTTGTTTACATGTTTCGAACTATACATATACAAGGCTATATCTCAGGAAATGTGCATATAGATTTATGGTTCAGTGAATTAAGTAAGTCAGCCAGTTGCGTATTATTTACTTTTGGGGCCCTAAATTTAGTAGCAATAATTCAGCTTCTGCTTTTAAATTATTAACAATTGGTTGAGTCAAGTCATTGAATCGAAAAGAACTCTTTTGCAAAGATTTTGAATAATAAATAAAACACTTTTTACGGTTTAAAGGCATAATATATTAATTACATTTAAAAAAATATTAAGTAATGAAATAAATAATTAAGTAAAAGGTAATTTACAAATTTGTCGTCACGGGTAGATACCGTAAAAGCGTTTTAAATGAATGTGTATGACTGTCTCTTTAAATATCTCGTACACATTTAAAAAATAAAACTGGCCAGTTTGAAAAAATCGGTTTTACGATTCCACATTCGAATAGTAGTAGTTTAGCTTACAAGAAATTTGACTAAATGCTAGACTTTCGCAATCATTTTACTTAAGCGTTAACACAATATACACGTACAGTCCATAGTTATTAGAAATGTGCCGATTTTCAATTGCCAAGTTTAACGAGTACAGTTATACTCGGTTCAAGTTTTTCAACCGATTACTCGGCCGAGTAATTCGGTTCAAACAAATTTCATTCGCGCGCGTAAACAAGTACAGACATGTTCGCGCACAAGAATTTGTCGGCTCGTTTCCTCCGGGTAGTTTAGACTACAAACATTGTTTATTATGTTTTTTTTGATTTCCTAATTAACGCTAATAAATAATTTTGGATTAACACTATTTTTGTCTACCTAAATATGCGGTTCTTGAACAAGTTCCTGTTATAAAATAACAAAGTATAACCCAGTTATTCGGGCGAGTAAGAGTATAAAAAAACCCCGCCGAGTACGCCGTGTACCAAGTATCAACCGAGTACTCGGCCCATCTCTAATAATTATTATACTAGAATAGGTACGAATTGGTATAGCTATATTGATTTGATAGCAAAAATATGGTGCAACGTAGATAATAGAGTAATTTTAACTTCTCCAGATTAGAGTTTTTTTTTCATATCCCGAGTATTTTTGTAGAGTTCGACCCTGTTTTATATCGTAATATGAATCGTCAAGGCAGGCTGGACCTGCGAACGTGAGTCACCACTTTCTACCACCCAGCGGTCGATGACACTTGCTTAACTATCTATATGCACAATTGTTATCATCTAAGTAATTGTGTCCATTAGTTATGAGATCTGACGTAAGTTATAGCTTTTGTATCTAGAACAAATGAAGGAGGATTTTGGAATTCTACAGACATGGTTGAAAATTAAAAAGACTCTTGATTAATAATTCATTGCGTCTCCATGTGGTCTTGTGTTTGTCGAAGTTGTCAGACAGGGGTTTTTTGTAAGAGCCGTCCGATCTGGCGGGATGTACAAAATTCACAAAATAATGCTTCTTTTACCTTGAAACTTTGATTTTTACCTTTCTCCGTTTAATGTATCAATTTGATATTTTGATATAATAATTTTCTTCACTTATCACTATAGTGTTGTGTATGTATGTATAAGCGTATGTATACATGGGGCGAACACTTTTCTGTATCGGTGTCAATGATCGGTTTCTTTTTACAGGTAAGTTGATCAGATTATTGTGCCCTGCCCGATCAAAACAATTTATTGTTTCCCCTGGATTCGAACCCAGGTCATCTCGGGTTAAAAGCAGTACTAGGCAACATGTTTAACCATTTAGGTACAGAGGCAGTCCATGTATACCTAAAGTGGACAGATAAATTATATTGATAATGCTATATTTTTTTTTAATGCGATATAATCGTAAACTACGTCTTCAGAGTTGAACTTAACGCAATTATAGTTTGCACATCTATAGCAGCTATTTCTAAAGCCACATCGAATGTATGCGCTTGCGCAAAAACTTAAACAGTAGTGGCGTTAACCGATGAGGTAATCAAGGCACTCTCAATGAAAAACAACTATGTTATAAAAACTGCTGCCAAATTTAACTGTATTTCATTTTATTAACAGCAGATAAAACTGTGCCTAATTTAGTGCAGAATAAAGGTGTATTTCCTATAAGCTCATTTGAGACGCAATTCTATAGATCTAGCAGATACAGTGAGTCACTGAGACGCCGTAACTAATGCGATTCGCAAATTTTAAACGGCTGTGTTTATTATATGAGTAATAGATAATTACCACTTGACTAGTAAAAAATATATCCGGGATATTTCTAAATGCTTCGCAACTTTACTCTGTTGCGTACGTGTCCGTCAAAATTTTTTTTGTAAGAACTACGGAGATAATTCTGACGGAGAACAAATGTGTCTGAGAGAATGTAAAATAACAAATTGATTTGGGGCGGCTGTAAAGCATCGGACACGGTTTTAATTATAATAATATTAAATTAAATAAAGTAACTTACATACTTTGCTATTCAAATCGTATTTTTAAAGAAAAGTACGTACTTTTAAACACTAGTGATGATTTTGTTTATATCTCCTTTAAGAAGTTTATAACGGTGGAATAGTAAAAATAAAAACAAATGGTACAATAATTTTTATATCAAACAAGATTACAAAAGTGTAAAAATGTAAACGAATTGTGGTATTGAATAATTCTTAAACTAAATACTAAAAAAACTACTCGACAACTGTGCTGCAATACCAGAACGAATAGATTTTTCGAATATAAAACAAATTAATCTTTAATTTCTCCGTAAACATATTTTATCATTTTATTCGGGCAACACAGTGTTATAATTGACTTTTTATAAGCCAGATTTAACTCCTAAGCACATATATGTATAAGGTTTTCAAAATAACATATGGGACAATACGTATATCTTACATGTCTAACAGTACATACTTAATTTAATGTAAATATCTAAAAGTGAAACATCTAGAGTAATATGGAGTTCGTTGGATACAAATCTGGAAAAGTATTATTGCTAAATTTATATTATTTAATTAAATAATATTAAATCAAATAAAATACTATAAAACCCAACAATCAAAAAAAAATTGAAAGTACTTCTTGTAATGGCGGTAACAGAAATACATAATTTATAACTGTCTCTTATAACTCGTAAAATACAGACTGGTGACAAGCAGACAGACAGCCGACGACCGTCTGTCGGGACTTTGTCTGTTTATTAATTTATTTATATGGATTTATAACAGCTTTATAGCAAAAATACACCGTAAAAGTGACGTCACAAGTGATTAACATTTCAATAAACCAAGAAAAATATTCAATTAAAAAATTGCTTACCTGGTACTTAGTAATTTTGTTTCCAAGCCCAAATAAATGTTCCACATAATTATTACTAACTTAAATATTATTATGACACTACTTCGGATCCAAAATGTAATTACACAAGAAGAAAATTATCAAACGTATTACATTAACTACGTCTACAGTTACATTAAAATACAAAAGTAAAAAATAAATTCAGCGTTAGAGGTCGACAAGGGTAGAAAATAAATAATTACAATCTAATTTTATTTACAACCTTAAGTTTATAAGTAAGAATTTTGCCAAGGAAATAAAGAAAAAGCGAAATTGTATCTAATTAAGGGATCAGTGAATCTACTTTGTACTTTAACAACGGTAAAAAGTATGCATATACAGAGTTGTCTGTAGTTTGCAGTAGTAAAATAAATAAAACACTTTTACTCGTTTAAAACGCGTAATATACTAGTCAACTTATTTACAATTTATTTTACCGGCGATATTTCGGACGCTTTGCTGCAGTCACAAGGATAGAAATTGTATTTACGTTAATTAATATGCTACGCGTTTAAATCCGTTAAAAGTGCTTCAGTTAAATATTTTAATTGGAATATTGTGTTTTTCGATGATTTATAAAAGAAAAACAAATCTGCTTATTGGAAGAAAATGAAATTACCAGGAAATAATTCAAACTCCAAAATATATTACAGCAGTTAGCCTAAAGAGCTATTCTAATAAAATTGAGATTTTTGTCTTACCCATATGAGCCTGTATCACAGCTTAGGTATTAATATCGAATCCTAAAGTATAACTTATCTACTTAAGCTATGTCCTTAAGTACTATTTAAACTAAAACTTAAGTAAAGATGGATGGAGAAGAGGTTAAAATACTTAAATCAGCTTATATTTAATACAATTGTAGATAAATATAATATATATCTAGTGAATTATGTTAATTTATAACCGAAACCGAAGCCGATTTTTATAGAATTCGAAGCCGAACGCTTGTATAAAGGTCATAAGCGAAGCCAATGTATAAAAATGGAAGGAAGATACATTTTCAAAATTTCGTTTCTTAGTATATAGATAAGTGAAACTTATAATATACATCTCTGTTAGTTTGTTTGTTTTTGACACAGTATCATAATTAAACTGCATATAAGTCCAGCGTCCTGCGTATAATAGCCAGCGAACTGAAAACACACCATACAACGTCCGTTTCCATCACGTATAACAGTTGTCTTCATCAGCGTGATCTGAACAGTCTATGGTGCCGTCACAGAGCTGTGCCAGTGTGATGCAGCGGCCGTCCACACAACGCAGCTCCTCGTTGGGGCATGGCGATGCATGAGAACTATAGGCAAACTCCTCTTCAGTCGCATTCGCTTCCAACGCCCAGTCTTTCTTACGCGCGTGCGCTGCTTTCTGTAAGCAATATATCACATTAACAGCTTGATATATTTTTTTTAATTACAACCTAATTCTTGAATAATCCATTGCATAAATGAGATGAAATGCAAAATAATTTAAACGTTTTAAAACGTGAAACATATTACTTAAATCTATTTTAACTGCGGCTCCGGCGAAGTTTCCGGTAGTCACAAGGTAAGTAAATTAAAAATAAATAAACGAATATGTTTCGCGTTTTGAACCCTTAAAGTGTTTTTTTAATGTGTGCTACTATAATAATGGATGGCTTGACTGCCCTTAACAAACTATCTATTATTATTGCTTTTTAAAGTACTTTTCGCACGCTTAGTATTAGAGTGACCTAACTCAAAATTTAAGTAAAATTAGATAAATGCACTGACATTACTATAATAACGCCATCATCATAGTTTTATACGATTTGCCAAAAGTGTTTTTTTTAATTCGGTCACTGTAATACTAAGCGTGCGTTTTATACTATTGTAACGGCCATTAAAATAATTATTCTTTTAGCTGTCAAGTGCCTTAGCTAAAGGTAGAATTTGGAAAATGTGTGATAAATTATGCCTTTTATAAATATATTTAAAATCCATGCTTATTAATATATGTCCTGTATTGGAATTAAAAATAGCATTCGTTCGCTATTGCTCTAAATATTTTAGCAGGCGATACGTAATCTTTGTTTGGCGAGCAATAGTTTCGCTTCCTTCCAAATAGACAGACTTGAGTTATGAACGAAAAAAAACATAAAATGTAACAACTAGTAATCGTTTTGAGAGTACTATTACTAGAAAGAACTTTAGTGTATAGTTCCATATAGAATGATTGTCGAAATATTTCTACAGGCGTCATATAGCCTTTCTTTTGTTTGACAGAGGACAGACATTCTTGGCGTTTATTCTTCAGAAGGTTGAACACATAAATAATAAACTGTCACACTATTTTCGCTCTGGGCATACTTATAGAGTTACAACGAACAAGCTCTAGAATTACAGCTAAAGACTCGATGGTGTAATGGTAGTGGTGTAGCTAATAATAACCAACGGGTCGTGGGTTTGCTCCCCACCTATTCTAACATTCTTCTAATCAATTCATAAAATACTGTCTATAGTTTACGCGAGTAGTACACATTAAAATAAAACACTTTAACGGTTTAAAACGCGATATATTAGTTAAACTTATTTGAAAGTTATTTTTAACTACGGCCCTACGTTTCGGATGCTTTGCAGTAGCCGTGGTCACGGGGAGTCCCTTTAACTAATATATCGCGTTTTAAACCGTTAAAGTGTTTTATTTAAATGTGTACTACTCGCGTAAACTATAGACAGTATTTAATAAAACGGGTTTCTATACCGAGGTTAATAAAATGTTTCAAAAATGGATGAATTGATAAATGATACCTACCCGTAACAATGCAGGTCCATCAATAACCCTTTCCAAATTATCAATAGTCTTATCAAGTTTCGTCTGCTTAGCTTCCTCTACTGGTTCCACTTTCTTTTCGTCACTTCCTTCTCTTTCTATATCCACGTAGAAGAATTTCTGATCATCACCAGTATCTGTTGGTGTTTCAGGGACCCTTTGGGTTTGTTTCCTGAAATTCTTTCGGTAGGACGCTGCTGATTTTTCTGTCGTTACGAGTGTGAAGGAAGTTTCTTCTTCTTCTACCGGTGGTTTAGGCGTGGGTTTGGAATAAGGGGTGAGCCTTGAAGGTGACGGGCGTCGTGTGAAATTACGCTTGAATGCGTTGGTAGAGTCACTTGTCATCAGTAATTCCTTGCTGTCTGTTTCTCCTGAAAAGAGGAACAACAATATATCTTAGAACATTTTTATTATCTTTGTCAATCTTTCTTTACTGGAATTTTAGTTAGTTTTCGATTCAATATTGTACTCTTCAGCTCTTAAAATATCTATAAATGCTTTTAGGTACTTGCCTTGCGAATGATAGTTTCTGGGAGGTAATTTATAAGGTTTTCGGATAGATGGCGCTGGTGCGGAACCAGCGGGCTCTTCCCCAGGTTCGTCAATCTCGGCAGCAGCGGCCAGACGAGCAGGAACATGGGCTGTGCACGTCGCTTCGTCTTCGTCTTCGCCACCAGGGCAGTCCGAGTAACCATCGCAGAGCCAACGTTTCATTATGCATAGACCTGATTTGCATCTGTTAAGAAAAATAATTCTTTTACGTTTAATGAGGATCTTTTTATATAATTTTAAAGACCACGAGCGACCCACCATACAATAAAAAACGGCAACAATTATAAACGGGTACCCATTTTTAAATTAAATAAAATCACAAAAACTAAAGAATCCTACTTTCTAATTATTAAAAAACACAACACTGAATTATTTGAAAGATATACAGATTGACTATTGAATCGGACAGAGTTCGTTAAAATGAGGCCGCACGAGTTATCACCACTTCTTCAAATCTTCTTCTTGATGACGTCATTTCAGTATTTCTCTAACAATAATTAAAAAATATATATTTATGAAGGAAGGTGTATATAATTGGAGAAATTACCGAAATTCGTTATCTTCACAAGTGGAGCAGGGTGCTTCATCTTCTCCCCCTGGACAATCACGAGTTCCATCACATATCCAGTCCCTGGGTACACAGGAGCCGTCTCCACAGGCCAATTCTCTGGGATAGCATGGTGTACGAGCGTTAGCGCAATTACTGCTGGAGTACTGATTACAGGCGAACATGGGAGACAGTTCTGTTGGGATGTATCCTTCACAGCTGTCCAATATCGCTGAAACCATGTTCAAAGAAGATACAATTTACGTGGATGGAGCAAAGATGCAAATATTAAATATAAATTAATTGTTTCCAAAGGCATATGAAATAGAAACAAAAATTCTATTATAGATTTTCTTCTCATCAAAGTACAATACTAATATTTCTAAGTACTAATTTTGATCAACATAAAATGAAAATTAACGAATGATGAAGTAATTTTGAACTTAAGTAGTGACTCTTCCTATGAAGAGGTTTCTAATTAAAATGATACCTTTGCAAAGACTATAGCAGGGCAACTTAGAAGAAAATGGCGGCGGGCTGCATTCCGGTTCCAGCAGAGCACAGGCAAAATGACGGACGCGGTCACTGCAGTTTGTAGACACCATGTATTCAATCTGGGGCAGAAGTAGAGTCACTTCCTTTTGGCCAATCCTCGCTGGTGCACCAGCTAAATCGTATGGCAAGATCCCACGGCATAGAGGCAGACGTGTCGATCGACATTGAGGCACTGAAAACATGAAAAATCTATTTTTAAATATGCCTTAGCCAAATTGAAAATTAGTAAACCACCATGTCCTATCTATTACTAATATCTACGCGAGTAACATATTTAAATAGAAGAATCTTAACGTCGAAGTAAAAAATAAGTAAATTGAATATATTTTACGTTTTAAACCGTTCAAAGTGTTTTATTTAAAATGTTTTGTAATTGTTAAAGCGTCTGAACAAGCACTAAAATTCAATGTTGGCGCGCAGAACGTGTCCCGACTATAATGTTATGTTACAAAACATGCTTCAGAGCATGTAATATTTTAAATATTACATGGTAACGTGTTTTGTGTATTCAATCTATTCATCGTTTACTTTCTACATTACATTATTAATTTCTACATAAACTGGAAATTAAAATTGATAAGATTTGCCCCATTCCTAAGTGGGGCTCATAAAGTCTAATGTGTTAATCTATTATATTTGAGGTTATCATGGGAAAATAGGTTTTATCACATCTATCAGGTATTAAGCAACTTATTACAATGGAATTAAGTGACAATTTATGTCAAATTATGTTTACTGATTAAGATTCGTAACATGATCTAAATTCTATAAAGGGTTATTTCGTTAGTGCGATACCAGAGACACACTTACGTTTTATATGTGCCTTGAAATTTACAAGATAATTAGAGTTTTATGCATAGGATTTATACAAAGTTAGTTGCTATAATATGCATCTCCATCTTCCTCTAACTTATGCCACCGCATGCTCCCATTATGTTATTTAGTGTTCTTACCATCAGACAAAGAATTAATAGGATTTTTGGTAGTTTCATCTCTGTCCCTCCAAGTAGGTAGAGTGGGGGAAACTCTGGTGTTATACAGTGAACTTTGAGTTGTTGACCTACTTCTCTCTGCGTCTTCTATAGAAATACCAAAAAGTTTTGAATGACCTGATGTAAACTTCACGTTGGATTGCAAATCAGGCCGCCCGTAGTACTCTCGGATGTCAGGTGAAATATCCTCCCCCGATCTGTATATTTCTGGCAAACTGGCTTTGTTGACTTTTGGGAGCTCAGCTGGAGACTGTACGTGAACTTTAGGCCGTTTTGTAGTACGTGCTGAAGCAAATACTGTTGTCTTTGTTGTAAAGTTTTCATCTAAATCTATTACTGTATTAGCTGGTTCTGAGTTCTTAGCCACTTGGGTAGTGATCCTCTCAGTACTAGTGGTAGAAACGGCATCAGCGTCTTTAAAGTAAATGGCGAGAGGTTTTTCTGGATGATGAGTGATGTGTGGTCTGAACGTCGACTCGTCTGGTACTGAGTTGCTATTGAGAACCTTTGGCTTCCGCGCGTTGTCATCATCGGCTTTCTCATTTCCATATTGGACTTCTGGTTCGATATGAGATGGGAAGACGGGAGGGATTGGTAATTTTCTTATACCGCTGCTGTCTGTGATTACAGAAGAGATATTTGTTTCGTTGTCAGCGTCATAGAAATCGATCTCAGAAATTTTTGTACCTGTTTTAAAATATTTTAATAGGGTAGAACTTTAACTTATTTAATATAGATAGTGATTGTGACAAAGCTTTTAAAAGTGAGGAAATAGCATAAGAAATGATGCTGTAAATTGGGAATTTAAATTATATATTTTTTTCCTATGTGAAATGTAGATTTGTCTTGTAAAACTTACCAGGAGCATCTGAAGATGTGTTTTGGTTGAATGGTTTTTCTGTTGATGAAGAGGAGTACGACTGGGCACTAGAAAAGCTCTCGTCCCAACTAGTAGCGTTTATCTTATCAACCTGTCCTAAGTTTTCTGAAAAGACACGTAAGTCTTGTTAATTTAGTTAATTGTCATCGTGACTTCAATTCTACTCTACAGTACGTATATACACCACCTCAAAATGTTAAGTACTTAAAAAATTTACGAACGTAAACTACGTCTATTATATATTTGTTATATCTCATGTGGACAGGGTGGAAATATCAATACTGTCTTTACTTTAATAATCAATGATGAACATATATTCGTTGCATTTCATTAAGTAAGAATTATTATATAAAGATATTAAACATTAATATTCAAAAATTTCTGGAAATAACATGGCTTTTTAAGGCTTAGGCAAAAATTTAAATTATATAGGCATATAATAAGTAGGCATCAATAATTTTTCAAATAAATAAATATATTAGTATGAAACTGTGGCGGAAACCTGAATAGGGGGTCCCCCCCCCCCGGACGAAATTTTTTTTGTTTTTCCCAATTTCCCAATTCAGTCAAACTTTTTTTTTCCTAAGTTTCCTCACTTCCTAACCTTTATGTATAATCAACAAGCGTCTGACCATCAACTGTACGAAAGCAATACCTTTAAGCATATATTTGTCCAGAACATCGGCCCAGATAACAGTATTTGAATGTACCCATTTACACATACATGAATCAGTAATGTTAGTTTCAAGTCAAATTTACCCTTTGAACACAATATATGTAAATGGCACAAGTGTATTTGTGCTCGAGTTGACGTAATACAGATGAAACATGTTGATTTAAAAGATGTAAACAGAGAAAGCCGGGTTCAAGAAGTCACTGGCACGAAGAATATCTTGACTTTGACCTGACCGTTATTAATAATCCTTATCACTTATGCAACCGAAAGTGGTGAAGTGAGAAATTCTTGAAAAGGATACGCATAATTTTAAACAGGTATTGTTCTTGTGTCGATGCGATGTTATTATATCAGTTTAAGTGATTTATTTTGACAACTGTCACAATGTATATTTTATGTTCTTTTAGTATTACTTATGTAATATTGTCAATACTTTTGACCACGTCTTCGTCTGCGCACAAATTTGGTATTAAGTTATATGGTAATAAGGTGATATTAATATTTTTGCGTTTTATCGCAACGTAACGAAATTCCGTTTGAATCTCAAGACAAAAGTAATGTAAGGTTTCTGTTTTTGTAGATTTCTGAATGTCCAAAGCCAAAATAGCTCGACGACGCATCTTCATTACACTTTATATGGCTAGGTAGTGTTTTGCCTTATAAATCTATGTACTCTATGCTTGTCTATCGTCTGTTAAGAATATTACAAAATATGTACATTTATTAGTTAAATCTCGTGCGTTAGAAGGTATATTTAACCATTTACTGTATGTCCAGCTTTTATTAAGTTTAATCTAAGCCCCCAAGTGTGTTTCTAATTAAGAATTTACCTCAGGTGGACTATTGACCAACATTCGGCTTTGGAACACATAATATGAATATGAGAAGGTAATTATTTGAAAGTATATCAAGGTATAGCTTAGCTTAGGTTCCTAAGTTAGTGACGGCAGTTGTAAAAGACCGCCACTAGAACATCATGGTGTGTCTAAGGTTATTAAATTCCCTTCTCGTTAGTTGTGTCAAACAAACAAAAATGAAACTTTAATTTTATAGAGGTTTAGTTTAAGATAAAAGTAACACCATTGTTTAATTATCGTTATACGTTTGTTTTAAGCTTGCACGCTTTTTATTATACGCGTAGCACACGTCTAAATAATACATTTTTTACAGTTTAAAACACTATTTACATAATTTTAAGTTACAAAGCGTTCGAAACATCGGGTCGAAGTTAGAAATAAATCAATACATATATATTTTTAAACCGTTTAAAGTTTTATATTTGAATTCTGTATGATATTTTAGGATATACATATATAATGTTTTCATCTGTTGGATATTTGGATCTAAACCTCTTAAAATGTCACCGAGTAAGTTCAACGTCTTAAAGAAATTGAAAGTCAACTTTCATTTAATAAAAACCGAATAAAACATTAAGGTCGAATCATAATGCCGATTATGTCCGACAAAATATATGTGTATAACTTTTATTGTTTTTAAAATCTTCTCCCTTCAAGAAACGTGAAAGTGGCTTTATATTTATGAATGCGTGGAAAGATTCGCCGAAGCTTTAAAAACAGCTTAAATAAGGGATAAGGTTTAATTGTTTTGAAAGTTGATTATGACAGTTTAAAACTGTACTTTTAACTCGTACATTAGCAGTCAGGACGTGATAAAAGCACGTTTTACGCGCAACGTTTTCGCGTAATTGCCATAGTATTATCGCTTTTTATGTAAACTTTTTCCAAACTTATCAGCACTTCGAAATTTCTTTTAAGGAAGTTTGGAGATAAGAGGTGTGGTTTATGAAAGAGTCTTTTCAATTTAACTTTTACAGCGACACAGATAAGAAATATAAGAAAGAAAACATGGAGGTAGATAACGCACGATTCAGTTACTGAATACTAGCAGGTAGTAATTTGTCTTTAAATTACGAAATTACTTTCCGCGTCCTGCCTTACATCACATCATATCCAGTATTTCAGCATTTCATTTATTTTTTTCTCAACATATCTGTGTGTGCTTCATGTTATCTACCTATAGCTTGTGTCTGAACTGAAAATGCTTTTTATTTTGCAGTAATAATTAATTCATGAAAAACAATAAGGCTCGTTTTATTAGTTACCTTAGTATGGCACTTTCTAAAGTTTTTAAAAGTATACTTTAAAATAATGTTTGAATAGGAACCTAAAGGCCATAAATAATATAAGGCACATTCACATAAAACACTTTCAACGGGTTTAAGCGTGAAAAGTATTACTTAACTTATTTAAAATGCTTTGCAGCAGCCAAAACATCGTGGCGTAGTGAAAATAAATTCTAAAAAAGTTAACTTATACATTTTGCGATTAAAACCGTAAAAGTGTTTTTTTTTGCACGAGTGATAGTAAGTTAAAAGATAATATGTGATAATACACTTACCAGGCATCAAAAAGTAGACAAATACTGCAAGAGCAACACAGACTCCGAAGAGAGCAACGGGCCATCGTAGCATACGCATTATTTTGACGACCCTTTTGGAAGTGCTAGCGCCATCTGACGGCACCCTGTATAAGCTATCTGGATGCGAACCCTGAAAAGATCGATGAGAAATTTAGTATTATCTTATAAGAGAGGTTAGACGAGATTTACTCGAAAGAAACCAAGACAAAGAACTGCTATATTGTTTGCATTGATCTATCGGCATGAGCTAGCGAATTACGTTAGTGAGGTCGGGGGTTCGACCCTCGGTCGTAAACTAGTAAACTGCTAAATATAATGCTAAATATAAACCAGTATATGTTTATTTACAATTGAAAGATTCGTACATATACATATATTAGTTATATGGTATATTAGGGTAGCTTACGCGTCTCAGCGCTGGAAATTATTAAATGATTACAACATGTTAAAGTAAAATGTACAATTGTACACCTACTAATATTATAAAGCTGAAGAGTTCGTCTGTCAGTTTGTTTGAATGCGCTAATCTCATGTCTGAATTGAAAATAGACTATTTATCGAGGAAGGCTTATAACATCACGCTAAGTCTAATGTTTTAAGAACGACAAAACGCGTACGACGTCGTGGCTAAGATTTATAATTTATAAATATGAAGAGGTCGTATCCAAAAAATATTTTTTATGCTCATAATAACTATACCGCGCGGGCGAAGTCGCGGGCGCAGCTAGTCATAATGTGAATGACATGCACATATTATACAGATCATATTACACATATCATACAGACAATCCCATCATTAATCTGTACAGAGACGAACTAGTATAATCTTAACTCGTTACACCAACATAAACTTTGATATGATCAGTAGTCGCTGCGAAATTCTAAATTTAGAAACATCGTTATTCTAAAACTGTGCTCGTTAGTTCAAATTATGTATGTCTAAACAGATTGTTTGTTTTGGAATTCCGTGACTCGAAACATCATCGTATTCGTCCGTTACGTGAATGCATTATGCCATGTTTATTATGTCACTAGCGGTGACAGCGTCCGCGTAGTAAAGTTAATTTGGGCTTTTAAAAAATGTACCTGAAAACCACATTTTCCTCTTTAAAATTTAAGTTATTACCCACGACCTCGGACGCGTCTCATCGTTCTTGCAAAGTTAGTCTTAAAAGATAAACTTAAAAGATATATAGTGTCCTGAATCTTTTTTTGGGTCATTTAAATAAGAATCAATCTTCACTACCAAATTTTTTGGGTATCTTGAATCCACAGAGATGAATATTTTTCCCCGTTTTCCCACATTTCCCGCTATTTCTTCGCCCCTTTTGGTCGCGAGGTTTTATAGCCTTCCTGGACAAATGCTCTAACCAACACAAAAGTAACACAATACGAACCAGTAGTTCCTGAGATTAGCGCGTTCGAACAAACATACAAACTCTTCAGCTTTATATATTAGTATAGATGTTTATGTTTATTATGTCATTTAAGTGGACGAGAGCTTGCGTGTATGACAGCCGTAACTTTTAAGTGCAATAAAATGTGGATAAATTATGCGGATTCGTGGCTTCGATAAGGCCGATGTGGTCGAGATGAGACGTCGCCGTGCCCCCTGACCCTAGAGAAAGTCTCTGGAGTCAAATATGTTACGTTGTGCTCCGTTCTCGATATTACTAGGCCTTTGAAGTCGTCATAATTTCATCTCTAGGGTTCCAACTTTTGTTCGGAATGGAATTGTTTGGTCGTATCGAAAATTTTAAGCGTTCGTTATACCGGAAATAGATTTACTATAGATTGTGTATAATATAGAATAACAAGAGGTGTAACAAAGATAATTTCTCAAGAAATTTAACTCGAAATTTATTGCGTTAATACTACAGTTTTCACGAGTTCATTAAAAATTCAAAAAGTGAAGTAAATTTTAGTTTTTAAATTTGAACGATAATCTGTTAAGTACTGTCTGTAGTTTACGCGAGTATTGCGCATTAAAATAAAACACTTCAACCGTTTAAAACGCGAAATATATTAACGTGAGACGTTGGGCTTTAGTTAAAACAATTTTGAAATAAGTTTAACTACTGTATTTCGCGTTTTAAACCTTTAAACTGTCAAATAGTCTGTTTTTTGTTCTGCTTACTTTTGTTTAATAGAAGTGACAATCTTTTAAATATGTTCATTAAAGCCGTTAGATGAACTATTACATTCAGTATGTAACGCTAGCCTCGTAAATCTAGATAACGTGTCGTTAATTACCCACATATGCAATTATAGGAACATATTCTCTTAGGCGTATACTGTAATTGCATACTTAACAGCCACGTGCGTTATTCCAAAGACCTATTAAAAGCTAGTACCAATATAAGCTAGCTTTAAATAGCTCTAAAGTTTAAGTGCTTATATACAATATAAACGACTAGGCAACAAGGCAATTATTTTGTACCTAATTATACTTAGTCTTGTACAAAGACTATATTTTATCATCTCCGTAGTCTTTATCAAATCCTTATTTAGTTAAATATCGAATTGTAATTTAAAAGTTAAATACTGGCAAACAGTTATATTTCAAAACGGATGTTGACTTTAATAAAAAATAAATATAATTTGAATATAAATTGGTAGTTTCTGCTGTACGAATACAGAATATTGCAATAATGTTCCTTATTAATAATTAATTCGTAATTTACAAATTTAATTTTAGGGCTTTTTAAAGGTTCAAAAAATACATTTTTATTTTTTGGGGTTAGAATCTTGATAGATATCTTAATATCTATTTGGAAATTATAAATTTAACATTTTCTCAAAATATTCAACCACCCTATTGAAATCTGGCCTTTAACCTAGTATTTTAACTGAATTAATTTTCTGTCGGTCGTTTTAAAATTTTGTTAATTAGAGTATCAGTAGAGGCAAGGAGTGTTCCCGGGACTTCCCCTAAACATGTGTTTGCTAGATCATTGAACACCGTGCGCGTTAACACAAAGCATTAACACAAAATAAAGGAATACTGTACCTTAGCAGCAAACGTTTTAACCTCTCGCGGTGTTGTGAAATACTTGTCGAACTTCGACTCGTAACCTTCTATAGTCTCATTCGAATTTCGAGCTTGAAGTGATCGAATACGATACGTCCCGTATTGCTCGCCATGTTCCGATATCGTAGGCAAATTCCCATTCGGCGAACTGCAACTACTGCTCGATCTAGAATACGCGTAATTCACCGAGCCGTCAGCAGGATTCTTCGGCTTCTTAGCGAACGCGTACCTCTTCATCGGTTCTTCTATCGGCTTCAAATCGTACGTCTCGAATTTCTCGGTGACAAAATGCTCCTCCACCTCACTCGTTGGCACGTAACGCAGTAACCTCGGCTCCTTTATTTTCTTCTCGTATTTATCTGCGTCCGTCTCATTGTCTAGTTTCTGAGCTAAGTTTAAGGAGCGCTGTAGATCATTCGCTGATCTGTTAGATTTACGTTTCGTTTTACGCTCCACTGTTCTTGTGTGCACGTGGTCGTCTACTATCTCTGACTCGGAGGCCGGTCTGTCACCGTATAATATGTAGTTTCCGTTAACCATGTTTGTATTCTTAATTTAAAAAATGTTCGATACATTCATTTTGAATTTGGAAAGATTTGTAACAGCATAGATTATGATAAACGCTGCATGTTTTATCGCGGCGGGATAACGACTGCATAAGACGGTGAAATGAATAGCGAGTAAAGAATGTTATTTGTTTGTTTATTGATTCAGCCAAGTTGATTCACGCATAAAACAGTTATTATCATAGTTTAATTTGAAAAGACGCAGCGGATGAATGGAATAGAATTTCCTGTGTTGTGCGTTCATGGCAAAGAAAATACTAATATGAGTGTTGTAATTAATGACAAATTAATTGAAAGACGTGAACGAAGTAATGATTTTATCGGTTTTATAACAAATTATTCAAAAAGTGTTCGATTATTTTAATTGTTACAAAACTTTATTTAAAATCGAAAACTTTTTTAAATAAAGACTTTAAAAATTGTAATTTGTAACCTCCTTCTAACTGAACAACAAATGTTGTGGAACGTATAATAGAATATAACATTGTATTATTAATGAGCTAAAGTAATTTTTGTATTATAATTCTTACGTAGTAATGTCATGTCATAACATTAGAAACTTCCCTGCGCTTCTTTGACCTCATTTCGTCGTAAATTGTATATGACGCAATGAATGTTCTATTTTTTCACCATAATTGAACAAAAACTAATTTAGAAGTAATAAATGAGAACATTTGCAATACTGTAAATGGCAATACGGTAGATAACATACGGATCGTTATGTCGGCCATTGTTGTTTTGACGTTCCCGCGCTTTTTGCCGCGTTTACGCGGGAACATTCTCAGTAAAGCGCGTGCGCGACAATGGCGTCGGCAACGAGAGTGAAAGATTGCGCAACGGCTCTTAGGGTGTTTTTCACGTAATGATGTGCCGTTACTGCAACAGATGCGCTGAATGCTGATAACTTAGGTCGTTTTATTTATTTCCTGATCTTAATCTATATCTGCTTTTATTGTAAATTGTTGACTATTGTCTATGGACATAGCTCAGTTATTAGGATTGTGTTATCTGTTATACTTTTCTTTGTACTTTCAAAATGAACTATATATTTGGTTACATTAATCAATTAGTCAAATTGTTCAAATTAAACATTCAGTTTATAACATATGTCTCTATTTGATCTGTAGGTACCCACTTTTTTACGAAAGCATTCAGTTTTAAATTAGGCAACAATAAGATAAGTAAAAAAATGTGTCATATTAAAAAGACATATAACAATTTTGCATAGTTCCATACCGAACGTAATTTTGTCATCCCCTTTGGACACTTCAAAAAGATATTTCATAATGTACTTGCATTTCGCACTTTGCTTGGTTCCTAAGTAAATTCTTGAAGATCAAATTCGAACCTATAATTTTCCTCGTACACAATCACCCGATCGTATCAATTGTATTTGATCATCAAATTCCAATATAACAAAGAGAAACCTTGATCTTTATAAATTCAACGTATTTTCGTTCGCCCTCGAGGTACAGAGATTTGAAGTCACTTTTGACTCTACCAAATATCATGTTTGATTAATTGATCGTATGGATCCTCAATATAATTATAATACGCGGATGCTGTATAATATAATAAGTATGTTTTTGTTCTATACTGTTATCATGTATCGGGTAGGATATTATACGACGGAATCGAATTATTAATAATTATTTTTAACTTCGGCCCGACGTTTCGGATGCTTTCCAGCAGCTGTGGTCACGGGGAGACCCATTTAACTAATTTAAATCGCGTTTTAAACCGTTAAAGTTTTTATTTAAACATATCGGTATGTTCATATTTGACAAAACATCAACCTATAACAGCTGACTCATTGCTGGAAATTGTAAATTTTGATTAAGATGACCACTCAGGCCGCTGGTATTAGAAAATTGATCAAGCAAGAAAATATACTGTGACATACAGCAATTAGTATCGCATGAACTAATCCATCAATGTCAATTCCTTGGAAGGGATGATATTTATAACCGTTGAAAATAACAAAAATGGTACAAATTAATATTTATAGATAACGAAGAAATCTTTAACTAATGAAGGACAAATATATAACGCGAGTATAATAGAATTATATTTTTTGATATTGGAAGTAATTCGTGATTGGTATTTGGATGGAGTATCAGGCATTCTAATAATATTATTGCATTACCTAAATACTTTAACGGCCAAAGTGTTTTTTTGTTTCGATAGCTCGATTTATATATTATTTAGTCCATCTGCAGTGTTTTCACAACACAAGCGCAAAACATCACTCGCATGATATTAACAGAGAAATTCCTATCAGTTCAAGAACGAATAAAAAACCTTAAACCCGGCTGAACCCTTAAACATTAACAATCCTGAACGCACAGCACTTCCAGAAAATCACTTGCACAAGACACAGTAAAAAATCTAGTCGTCCCTCCAAGATATCGCGTTAGACTGAACCCAATGGCACCCACCACCGTTGCACCACACTGTGGGAAATAGCCGTGGAAACATGTGAACACGCTTTACGCAAGCCATTATATCCAGAAGATAGTAGATAAATTATTTAGCAGCTCCCATTCATTGGCCGATGCGCTGATTATGGCTGAACAATGTGGCTGGCCACTGGGCGCACTGCGCAATCTCTTAACTGATGGCCATTTTGCACAAGGAGTTAGTGATGGCACTTTAATAATTTTAGCCTTAAAATTTAAGTGTGCTAAGACGGGGGTTTGCTACTAAACAGGTCTGTGACTTGAGAGATTCTATATGGTACATATATGCAAAGTGTAAAGTAATTACTAATTACTTCGATTATGTTGAACGCCTTGGTGGCTTAACGGTTTAACGTGTCGCTTACTACTGCGTTCGTATCCCGGGAAAACAATGGATTGTTTCTGTCCGGCAGGGCACCCAGGGTAATTAAAACTGGTCAGTGAATTGGACACAGAAGTGTATTCGCCCCATGCCCCACGTGATTGAAATTTTCCGATTCGGGCGCATTTTGGTTTCGGTATAACCAAGCAAATAAACATTATATTTTAATAAATAGTGTCGTCGTTAAAACCTTTTAACTTAAAAAACATGTATTCCTAAAGAAGCCACGATATCCCACGTACAGAACTTGCTTCTTGAACTTTTTTGCTGAGTTTTGAACCTAATATCTCTCAAACCATTTCACCTTAATATTAACAAATGATCCAAGTGCGCTAAAAATCTTGAACTACTGTTACATTTAATGATTTTAGTAATATGTGTTATGAATGTAGACTTAAAATGATAAGTATTAATTAATTAAACAGATCGATACAATACTACCCCTTAAAGGCTTGTATTAAAAATAGTCAAAATTATATAACAATTTTGTATCATTTTCTTTAATAATTCCTATATTACACAACACTGAACATTCTCTGTAATTCTTCTTCATGAATCTAAATAATTGGCTTATAAAACCCCCTTCATTTTAATCGCGTAATAATTTAAAATAATCACGTTTTAACTCTTAACAATAAAGTCGTTTAAACGAGTTAACTGCTCGGCTTAATTGTTACCCATTTATCATAGAGTTCCTTACACATAAGATGCGTTCTGCTTCTCAGGTCTTGAACGGTGGTGTGTTTCCATTATCTTCTTTCACGATTATGCAATAATGATAATATAAACACTACATTAATAATCAAATATTGTATTATGCACTTTTCATTCGGAATTTATACGTATAACTTTCTTCATTTTATTACTTCATGTATAAAAATACAAGTATTTCGTAGTAAGTAGTTTCCATATAATTTCCATATTATGGCTCCCTACACATTATATTTTATTTTATTTAAATTTAGCACGATTAATAAAATTTATTTCATTTAACATTACCTTCAGCAAATTAAACACATAATACAATTTGGAGGCGCACATATAAAGTGTGGGTAGAATGGAAACACAAATTTAGTATTGCGTGTGCACTGTTGCTTCCATTGTAACACTTGAGTAAAACAAGAATATTATAATGTGCTGGTGCATTAAGCAGCCACTAGAGTTAACTGTTAGCACGTATTCAATTTTAAGAGAACCTCATAAAATGATTAAATATTAAAAAAATATCAAAGCGTATAATATAACAATTCTTTTTATAGGAAGGTAGTTGTAAAAGTATATCAATCATTTTTTTTAAATTATTATTTTTAATGTTAAATAAAGCACAAAACAGGGCTTTGGGTTTGATAGTAATGATACCAAAAACGTTTTTCAAGGAATCAAGGTGTGTTTCACGTCTTTCTATACGTAAATCCATAATAAACACTCTGAACAAGCATAGGGAAGTGGACCAACATGCCTTACCTCCATAGGTATCTTTGTACTTGAAAGTACGTATTGCGTTCACCATAGAGTTATGTAAATCTTCTAATAATTATTTCCTACAATATCAGTGCAATATTAGTATTACATAAGTACTTAGATATTATAATAACATTAAGCTCTATACATATTCGCGTCCATAACCTACTTAAGGTACTCAGCGTGTAAGACTAATTACTTACATGCAAGTGTCATTATGACAGTGTCATATGTCATTGATTGTCATTTGATAATTAGGAATAGTTCAATCTACATAATACTACCTGTGCCAGCGACTTCGTCCGCTAAGAATATTTATTTTGGGCATCCAAATTCGTTTTTGAAAACCCCTTTATCTTTGTAATCTTTAACTGTTACCCACGACATCGGTCGCATCTGTTCCTGTCCTTCTAACAAGTTAATCTTAAAAGATAGACATATGGCGTCCCGGACATTTTTTTTAGATCATTTAAGAAGGAATCATTCTTTCATATATATTTTTTGGCTATCTTGAACCAATTTCGCAGCGTACGCATCGGAAACCCACAGAGATAAAAAATTTCCCCACATTTTTTTCCCGCTGCTTCTTCGCTTCTATAAACAAACAAACAAACTCTTTAGGTTTATTTATTAGAATAGATTTAATGGCTTGGTAAGGAGTCCTTTAAGCCA